AGTGTCTTAGTCAGGGAGAGTATTGCTGTGATGAAACACCATGACCAAAGCAACCTGGGAAGGAAAGGGTTTGTTTGGTTTATGCTTCCACATCAGAGTTCATCATGAAAGGAAGTCAGGATGGGAACCAATGACAGAGCAGGAACCTGGAGGCAGGAACTGATGCAGAAGCCATGGAGGGGTGCTGTTTACGGGCTTGCTAGTCATCATATCTCCACTCCCTCCCACCCCTACTACCCTCACCCCTACCCCTCACCACCACCGAATGGCTCACTCAGTCTGTTTTCTTATAGAACTGGAGACTACCAGCGAGGGATGGCCCCACCCGTAACGGGCCGGGCCTTCCCACATCAATCACTAATTAAGAAAATGCCCACAGGCTTGCCTATTATGGAGGCATTTTCTCAACAGAGGCTCCCTCCTCTCTGATGACTCTAGCTTGTGTCAAGTTGACATAAAACTAGCCAGCACAGATGGCCAGTTTTTTTTGTCAGTACCAATCTGGGTATGTGTTGTCCCCAAAGGAAGCACTCTGCATCCCGGGCCCTCCTGCAGGCACACAGCACTGTAGCCCAAGGCCAAGTGCCTGCTGAAGTCCTTCCTGTCTTCTTCACTAAACACGTTTCCCATTAGGGACTTAACCAACCACAAGCTGGGGTCAGCCAGGAAGGACTAGCTGTGGCAGCACCAAGGGCCACCAAGGTGGGTTTATCTTTAGTGCTTTGGCCAATCCTGTTATGGCACCCCAGCCTCCACAGAGAGCCCCTGGTGTGCGGCTGCCAGGAAGCCCGTGGAATAGAGGATCCAGGGCCTAGTGAAGGGAGGGGAGAGCTGCCCTGGCCCTGAGCAGGCAACTTGCTGGTGGGTGGGTTTCACGCTGATCACATGAGTGTGACCTGTGAGTCTCCCATATGCCCTTCTGAATGCATCCACATGTCCACAGGGACATGGTGGCAGTGACTGGTCTGGTGCCTGACTCCTTGATGTCTCTTCATGTGCTGGCTTAGGAGCCCTTTCCTGGCCCTCTGTGACTTAATGAGACAGGACACACAGGATGGTTTTACTGACAACAGAGAAGCCGATGGGTCCCAAATGGCACCTCATTTCTGTGAGTGAAGCATTCGAAAGAGCCGAAGGGGGCTGATCCCTAAGGACCAGTGGCCTGTGCCTTCTGCAACTTCCTGGTGGGTGGGTTTCACGCTGATCACATGAGTGTGACCTGTGAGTCTCCCATATGCCCTTCTGAATGCATCCCTGTGCTCTGGCCCAGTGTTCCTACTGCAGCCATGTGACTCCCTGGGCTGTTTAAGCATGCTGTGCCTCAGACATGCTATGCCACAGACGACATGCTATGCCACAGACATGCTATGCCTGCTGCTTGGAATGCTGCTCCACCAACTATCCTTACTCCAGCACCCTGCTTCACCCTTGGCTCAAAAGTGATCTTATCCCTGTCATATTTTAAAAACAGCAGGAAGGAGTCACACCATACAACAGGGCACACGTAGGAAGTTTATTGAGAGGAGGGGAGAGAAGGGGGCAGGGACCGGTCCCTGGGGACGAGGAAGAGAAGGGAGACAGGAGGTGTACAAGGCCTGCCTTTTATAAGGAAACGTAGTGAATGTGCACAGGGGGTGCTCTTAGTGGCTGCAGCTGAGGTCTATCCTGTCAGGACCCTAAAGGCAGGCCAGTACAGATGCCTAAATGCTAACAGTTCCTTCCCAGCATTTCAAACACCCCTTCTGTGATTGCCTGTTTCTCCTCAGTGCTTCTGTTTGACCTAAGACACTAGAATACCTCAAAAGAAGGAGCTTGGCCTCTCTTGTTCAGTGTTCCGTTTCCCAGCACACAGTGCCTGGCACATAGCAGGTGCTCACTATTCATTAAAGAAATAAAAAGTATGTCCAGGACACAAAGAAACAAGACTCTAATCTTCACACTAGCAATGAAGGGGCTTGGATTCAACCTGCGTGTGGCTGTGTGTTCTGACGGCCCAAGATTCCCGGTGGTTCTTTGCACCAAGAGCAGGACCCTGCCCCGCCATGACTGAATTCTGAGCAGTCAAAATGATGTGGGGTACTGCAATAGAGCACTTGCCTAGCATGAGGCCCCGGATTTGATCACCAGTAACACACACACACACACACACACACACACACACACACACACACACACACACACACGGAAAGGACATCTAACAGAAAGGACACTACAGCTAGATGGTTCAGCTGCCCCCAGAGAGTCAACATGGTTCCTCAAGGTCATACCTTGCAGTGTCTCCCCAACTATGACCCTGCAAAGCGCCAAGATAACTTGCCACAAGGGTTAGAAGATCCCACCACCCTCCCACTTCTAATGCAGAAACCAGAGCAATCCTGTAAAACTAAGCCACATCATGCCCTTAACCTTCACATCCAAAGCTTCCTACCAAGTAAAACTTTAAAGCCGGGTTTGGTGGCACACCTTTAATCCTAGCACTCAGGAGGCAGAGGCAGGCGGATCTCTGTGAGTTCGAGGCCAGCCTGGTCTACAGGGGGAGTTCCAGGACAGCCAGAGAAACCATCTTGAAAAACAAAAACTAGGGCTGGAGAGAGGGCTCAGAGGTTAAGAACATTTGACTGCTCTCCCAGAGGTCCTGAGTTCAATTCCCAGCAACCACATGGTGGCTCACAACCCTCTGTAATGAGATCTGGCACCCTCTTCTGGCCTGCAGACATACATGCAGGCAGATCATTGTATGTATAATAAATAAATAAATCTTTAAAAAAAGAAAAAGAAAAACTAAAGTTTAAATCCCCTCCATTCTTGAAGTTTTGGGGGTCAAACCCAGGACCTTGTGCATCCTGGGTAGCTACTCTAATTGAGCCTCAGCCCCCTAAGTCTAAATTCTCACAGTAGCCACAAGGCCCAGTAAAACCTGTCCTTCCTGTTTTAATTTCTAATCCCTCTAGCACTCGCCCTCCCCACCCTCTAGCTTTCTGGTGTTGCTCATGTTTCAAGGCCTTTGTAGCTACAGCTCCCTTTTCGTAAGATGCCTTCAGATACCTACAGTATCTGTAGTACCTGTCACTGGGCCCTATTATAGTTTTTTTTTTTCCTATACATACATACCTATGATAAAGTCTAGCTTCTAAATTAGTCATAGTGAGGGATTAGCAGTAACTAATAGAACAGTTATGACAATACATTGTATGTAGGGTTTGGACTGTGGCTCAATTAAGAGTGCCTGGATTCTGGGTTCAGTCTCCAGCATCACACAAACATGGTGGCATATGCTGGCCACCATGTAATGGCACATGTAATCCCAGCACTCAGGAGGTGGAGTCAGGAAGATCAAGGTCTGAGGCCAGTCTGGGATATATGTGGCTGTATCTCAAGAAAGTTTCTCTTTCACAACTTAACGAATGTTATTAGTATTTCTGCAGTGGCCAGAAAGAAACACTACAGGAAGAAGGGACTGCTGTATCTTAGTCACTGGTAACTATAACTGAGCATCAGAGGCGAGCCCTGACCCAGACAGGCAGTTATCTCTTCACTGGTACAGGCAATCCTGGTTTCTTGGGCTCTAGAATACACAGAGGTATCTTCTGATTGATCTGGATGATGGAGAGGATCCAAACGGAGGCCGGAACAATAAAAATGCAAGCCCAAGACAATCTGAGGTTACAACAATGGAGAAGGAATAATTCCAAGGCTGCTTCTGAGGGGATGTCTGCAAGAACTGGTGATGCTCTGAGGGATGTCTGTAAGAACTGGTGATGCTCTGAGGGATGTCTGTAAGAACTGGTGATGCTCTGAGGGATGTCTGTAAGAACTGGTGATGCTCTGAGGGATGTCTGTAAGAACTGGTGATGCTCTGAGGGGATGTCTGTAAGAACTGGTGATGCTCTGAGGGATGTCTGTAAGAACTGGTGATGCTCTGAGGGGATGTCTGTAAGAACTGGTGATGCTCTGAGGGATGCAGTAAGAACTGGTGATGCTCTGAGGGATGTCTGTAAGAACTGGTGATGCTCTGAGGGATGTCTGTAAGAACTGGTAATGCGGGGGCTGGAGAGATGGCTCAGAGGTTAAGAGCACTGAATGTTCTTCCAGAGGTCCTGAGTTTAATTCCCAGCAACCACATGGTGGCTCACAACCATCTGTAATGAGATCTGGTGCCCTCTTCTGGCCTGCAGTCATACATGCTGTATACATAATAAATAAATAAATCTTTTTTAAAAAAAAAAGATCTGGTGATGCTCTGAGGGGATGTCTGTAAGAACTGGTGATGCTCTGAGGGATGCAGTAAGAACTGGTGATGCTCTGAGGGATGTCTGTAAGAACTGGTGATGCTCTGAGGGATGTCTGTAAGAACTGGTAATGCGGGGGCTGGAGAGATGGCTCAGAGGTTAAGAGCACTGAATGTTCTTCCAGAGGTCCTGAGTTTAATTCCCAGCAACCACATGGTGGCTCACAACCATCTGTAATGAGATCTGGTGCCCTCTTCTGGCCTGCAGTCATACATGCTGTATACATAATAAATAAATAAATCTTTTTTAAAAAAAAAAGAACTGGTGATGCTCTGAGGGATGTCTGTAAGAACTGGTGATGCTCTGGGGGGGGATGTCAGTAAGAACTGGTGATGCTCTGGGGGGATGTCAGTAAGAACTGGTGATGCTCTGAGGGAATGTCAGTAAGAACTGGTGATGCTCTGAGGGATGTCTGTAAGAACTGGTGATGCTCTGAGGGATGTCTGTAAGAACTGGTGATGCTCTGAGGGATGTCAGTAAGAACTGGTGATGCTCTGAGGGGATGCAGTAAGAACTGGTGATGCTCTGAGGGATGCAGTAAGAACTGGTGATGCGTTTGCTGGAAAGAACAGGAGGCAGCCATGAGTGGTGCCTGTGTCACTCAGACTCAGGGCTGGTCACAGGATCCGTGGACAGCACTGTCCCTGTAGGCAATCAACACATCTGGGTAACATAACATCTGACGCACAAATCACAACACAAAACCCAACATCAGGACATAAATCTGCATTGGCAACTTTTAATGTCTCACTTGTGCAGAACTGAAAGGTGTATTTAAAGGCACAGAGGAAGGAAAGGCAATTATCTGAGCATGAAGTCATAGGAAAGGATGCTGCAGAGAAGCCGTGGGCTGCTCTGCTGAGCTGTAGGAAAGAAAGAATGCAGCGCTGAACTAGAGCTTGGGGCTGCTGTGGTCCGTGTGAAGGCACCACTCACACGTCAGCAGAGCACAAGACGATCACAGTGCCGTCAGCACACTGTGGAGTAAATGCCCAGGAGAGGCACAGGCCCGGTGAGTGGGAGTGGCGGGCGCAGCACGGTTCTCACTCAGCACACAGACAGACTGGAAGCAGTCAAGCTCACACCTTTACCTCTGGAAATCTTGTGTGCTGCTGTCTCTGAGAGTAAACATCTGCCTGACGACCAAGAGTTATAATTAAAAACATGGAATCTTGTGAATAAAAAGATTACAAAAATGAAAGCAGAGACCTCTGTCCTTGAAAAAAGATAGAAAACTGTGTTTTTTTCTGTAATAAGAGAATCATGAATATTTCACCTTTATGTCTTTTCAAATGTCATCTCTTCTTTCATATTCTGCCACATTTAACATTGGGAAATGTGTATAATATGGCAACTTCTGCTAAGTGAAAGGGTGTACTGTTATTTGCTGGGAAAACTGAATGAGAAAAGGCTAGCTTACCTCTAGTAAGGCCAGGTGGGAGAAACGGTAAGAATTGAGACTGATTTTCTTTCCTCCCTCCCCACCTCTCTTTCTTCAGACAGGGTCTTACTACGTAGCCCTGGCTGGCCTCAACTCACAGATCCACCTGCCTCTGCCTCAAGCACGGTGATTAAAGGTAAGTGCTATCAAGCCTGGCTTAAAATTAAGACTTTCTTAAAAGCAAACCCAAACTCAATAATTTGAAAGATTTCGACTTTCAAGTACGAGTCATTCCTAAACTGGGTGTGGTGGCTCACATCCTCAACCCCAGCATTTGGAAGGAGGCCTGATGAGAAGTCTAACCCATGCTAGGCTAAAGAATAAGTCTGGGGCCACCAAGGGCTAGAGCGAGACCTTATCTCAAAAAAAGAAGGGAGGGAGGGGTTCCTGATTGGTGTGAGAGAGGAACAGAAAGCTTTGTGAGTACAACAGTACAATACAGACTAACAACTTCTATTTCAGTAGCATCAGCCTCACTCATTTTTACTTTTCTTTCTTATTTAAAACACTGATTGGCCAGGTGAAGTCATAACAGCATGAAGGTAAAAACAAATTCCACGGAGGTACACGCACAATGATTGGGACCCCTCTTTCTGTTTCTGTCTTGCAGAAAATACTCAGAGGTGGTGTTTTCCCTTTTCAACATACAACCCGAACACCCTATATGCAGATTCCACATAGTGAGGAAATAAAACAAGTTGTGCATTGCCTTAAATAATTTTACAAATTGATGGTAAACCAGATGTTAGATAAGACTATGCTTTAAAAATATTAAGCCTCAAATTTTTATCCAGTGTTTTAAGAAATGGATTATTAAAGTCATTTTTGAAATGAGATAGTAAATGTATTTGAATCTGGACTTTTATGGACTTAACCATTTTCCTTAAAAACTTGAAACCATCAAGAGCTGGAACATGCTGCCGGGCCAGAAATAATCACAAGTGTGTCCAGTCCCCGAGTGGCTCAGTCTCGTTTTGTGGCTTTCAGAGCCTGAAGCCTCTCTAGTAGTGGAGGGTGTGAATAGTGCCACGTGGAGAACAGCCAGTCAGAAACCGGGAAGCCCAGGTTGTCTTTGTTTAGCTTGATCAAAGCAGAATATAAGTCTTTAGCCATCCCAAGTTTCTTGGCGAAAGCGTCGGCCTGGAACTCAAACCTGCGGCTCAGGACTGTTAGGCAGAAGGACAGAACCTGTAGAAGAACAGAACAGGGTTTAGCCGCCTGGCACTGAGGAGGACTGGTCAGGACATGAGAAAGGCAAGCCAAACCTACTAGGAGACTATGACTTGGGATTCAAGGGGGTGGGGGGACTATATCAAGCTGAGCTTCCCCGACTCCAGGCCAACAGACCAGAAACACATATATATCCTTATTAAAAGGAGCTTTTGAGAGTGTGCGGTGCACCAGGGGCTTCACCCTTCAGGAACTTCTCACTTAGACCGCACAGGTCAGGAGGTGAAGCCAGAGGGCCACAGGGCTGGGCGGTGAGTGCTGAATTTAGGGTGACTCCAAAGCCAGTGCGTACCAGCGCGGAGTCAGTTCTGTGTTCACCTTCTGTCTCTAACATACCTTCGGCACTGTTTTTCTGAGACAGGGTTTCACAGAACTCGGGCCGACCTCAAACTCCTCATCTTCTGCCCCCACATCCCAAGTGCCAGGATTTCAGGAATCCACTACACTACCACATCAGGAAGTTCTTTTTCAAATATTTATTTATTTTGTGCTTGTGTTTTGCCTGGTGCCCAAAGAGGTCAGAAGGGGGCTTCAAGATCCCTTTGAACTGGAGTTACGGATGGTTATGAGTCATCATGTGAGTACTGGGAACCAAACCCAGGTCCTCTGCAAAGGCAGCAAGTGCTCCTAACCACGGAGCCATCTCTCCAGCCCCACAGGATCATTTCAAATATTCTTGATCACTTAAATCATTAATAACAGTCTTCACTGAGATTACTCTAAACCATGACAGAGCCTCTGAGAACAACAGTTTCAAATTCTGTTTTGTTATTGACAAGGTCTTTCTATGTAGCTGGCCTCCCGCTCATGATCCCCCTTCAGCCTCCGGAGTCAAAACTGAATGTTTTAGAAGTGGCTATGGCAATATCTACAGGTTAAGTTCACCATTTCTAAAGACCATTATGAAAGGGAAAATTTTCCTGGGAAAATATAAACTCTGAGGGATTAAGGTGTTTGCAACAGCACTCGGGAGGCAGAGTCCGGTGGATCTCTGAGTTGGAGGCCAGCCTGGTCTACAGAGTGAGTTCCAGGACAACCATGGCTACACAGAGAAACCCTGACCTAAAAAACCAAAGTCTTTGTACACACAAGTGTAGCAGACAGAATGACATGCTGTGTATTTTAAAAAATATTTTGACATTTTTTTTTTTTGCTTTTGGGGGCTGGGGAGACGGCTTGTGGTCAAGTACTTGCTGTGGGAGCCTGAGGACCCAAGTTTGAATTTATAGCACTGCAAACACCAAGTGCACATCAGCAGCCCCAGAGCTAGGGAGCGGGCAGCCAAGGTAGAACTCAGGGGCTTGTTAGGCAGCCAGGTTCACCAACACAGGAGATTCCTTGGAGAGCAACAGAGGAAGGCATTCAGTGTTAAACTCTGGTCTCCATAGGCATACACATGGGCAAGCATACTTATGTATACAATACACATAACTCTCTCTCTCTCTGCCACTATGAGTTTCCTAATAAAGTTTTTGAGTCTCTGTTATCACCCAATTCTCCGTGAAATTTCTTTCAAATCTTGAATATACATTTTGGTTTGGCTGTCTGAGCCAGATGTGGTGATGTGAACCTGTCACTCTAGCTACTTAGGAGGCTCAGGCAGGAGTCTGAAGCCAGCCTTATCAGCTATCTCAAGGAAGGAAAGAAGGGAAGGGGAGAGAGGCAACCCCTTCCCCAACCTTCATTCACTGGCTCTAATAACCTTAGCTCAGTACTCACCTAGCACATGTTAAGTCCTGTGTTCAGTTTTCAGAATCTTTTAAAAAAAAGCCAGGTGGTAGTGGCACATGTCTTCAATCCCAGCACCCAGGAGGCAGAGGCAGGCTGATCTCGGAGTTTGAGGCCAGCCTGGTTTACAGAGTGAGTTCCAGGACAGCCAGGGCTACACAGAGAAACTCTGTCTCGAAAAACAAAACAAAACAAACAAACAAAATCCTTCATTCACATCCCTCACCTCTATTTTAAGTACCTTAGTCAACCAGATTTGACTTTTGCTCTAATACATAAATAAAATATAAGTAGATAAATTAGTAACTACCTGTTTTGCTATAGGTTTCTAATTTATTTTTTATTTTTTTATTTTTGAGGAAGGGTTTCTCTGTGTAGCCCTGGTTGTCCTGGAACTCACTCTGTAGACCAGGCTAGCCTCAAACTCATAGAGGTCCACCTGCCTCTGCCTCCCAAGTGCTGGCATTAAAGGTGTAGGCCACCACAGCCCAGCTCCAATATGTTTTAAAACGATTTATTTTATTTCTAATTATGTGTATGTATGTGGGATGCGTGTGGGGTACATGAGCACATATGCCTGCAGATGCCGGATGCACTGCATCTAAGAGCTGGGATTACAGGCCGTACCTCATGTGAGTTCTAGGAACTGAAAACCCTGGGTGCTCTGGAAGAGCAGCACCAACGTAACGTAACCACCGAGCTAGCCCTCCATTTTTTGGGCGGGGGGGTAGGGCAATCCCAAGAAAGTATCTCTTCTATTTTAAGCTCCTTAAACTCTTGACACTGCGTACAAGAAGTCCAGGCTTAATGCCCAGCGCCTCTGGACTACATCTCCTAGGCAACTCAAGGCTTTTAAACCGTTGTTAGTACCTCTGTGGACTAATCACACTGTAAACCACTCTAATACTCAGTATTTATTTCGGTAATATTTGAAGTGAATTCAACTATTGAGTAAGGAGACAAAACAAAAATCCCATGACTAGGCCAACATCGGCATCATCGCTGCCTGTTGGGAGCACAGTACAAAGGTCCTTGTGCCCACAGATCTCCAGAGAACCAGGAAGGTTAAGCATAGAGGCATAGAGGATTGTCTTTCCAATGGGAAAGATGAAAACCTGTTCTTCCACTCAGAAGGCTGAGAATGGGAAATGATTAATAGCCTGGTGATCTGTGTTATCTGTTGGGTCAGGCTATATCAAGCTCTTATCACAGAGATGGCTAGTAGTCTGAATGACCCTGATAGCCAGAGGCTCCCCCAACCCCCCCCAACCAGGACCAGAGATGGCTAACAGCCCAGATGGCCTCTATGCTATCTGTAGGACTAAAGCCAAGACAGACCCTTAGGCCCTTAAGCTAGTACAGGTAGCCTATCTCTAGAATCCATCTTCTTGGAGGGAATGACATGTACCCTGAGTTGAGTTTCAATGTAATTATGCTTCTTTGTACACTGGGGATTGTGTTACACCAGGAAACTATTTTTCCAAATTGTACTGGGCTTAAATACACAGGGAATAAACCATCTGTTATTAGACGCCCTGAAGTCTAATCCAAGTTGATCAAGTCAATTTGCACTGGGTTTTTATTCTTTTTTTTTTTTTTTTTTGGTTTTTCGAGACAGGGTTTCTCTGCGTAGCTTTGCGCCTTTCCTGGAACTCACTTGGTAGCCCAGGCTGGCCTCGAACTCACAGAAATTCACCTGGCTCTGCCTCCCGAGTGCTGGGATTAAAGGCGTGCGCCACCACCGCCCGGCTGGGTTTTTATTCTTATCTCTTCGTGGGGTTCAGTTCCTTGTATGACAACTGCAGGGACCCCCTCAGCTGCCAACCCCTGCCTCAGCTGGAGAGCCCTCCTCCCTGCTGAGCTGGGTTACCAGGCCTCCCAGGCAAAGGCAGTAATTAAAGAAAACTAAACATGGACTAATGGGAAGCCACAGTGATATTACCAGCCCAATGGGGTAAGAAAAACAATTAGTTAAATAAGCAAAACTTTAAAAAAAAAGCAGAGTGCTCTGGGGTTGTTTATTATGTATGTGCAGTGTCCTTACCCTATCTGAGATATGACAAAAGCATTCTCTACCATGTTTAAGCAGCAAACCTCACAAGGCATTTTATAAATACATTCACTCCTAGCCACAATGTCAGGCGGCTCACAGCCTCAGGAGCATCCACTGACTCTGGCCTCTGCTGGCACCTGAATTCACATGCATGTGCCATGAACATCATACACACAGTTAAAAAAATAATAAAGAGAAAATTTAAAAACAAAAACATTAGTTTAATGTCTATAATTTAAAATAATGAATACATGTCCTCACAAGATTTATATAGCTTGTGTGGACAATTCACAGCTACTTCTCTCCATTCTTCCTTCATGGCACACCCCACCCCCACCCTGCCCCTACCCCGAATGCTTTCCTAAGTGAAGAAATAGGATTCACTTAGTTGGTCTGATAACCTTTACTCTAGAACCTGTCTCAAGGATGAATGGAGGTTCCTCAAGATCACCGATATTATTTCTTGCCTTCATCTGGAAACCTTACCAAATGCCATGAGATTCTGCTCTGAAATACAGTCTCATTAACTGGTGTCGTATCACACATGCAGAATCTGCTCATGACTGGCTCCTAACCTCATTTGTGAAATACCCACTTTTGGTTTAGTGGGTCCTGGAGGGAGCCCTAAAGTCACTGCGAACAATCAGAGGAACACGGTCACACAACTCCCTCCAGTCTGTCACCTTCTCAGTTACTATTTGTTTTGTCCCCTCACACACAGAATTTCACACCCACACTGGTCAACACATGGCCTAGGACACGGCATTCTAGCAGGTGACCTCCAGCTACCGAGGCTCTGAGGTATACACACCAAGGTTTGTATCGCTAAGCTCCAGTTCTCTACCCTTACCTCCTAACAATATTCTGAGCACTTACCTATTTAGACTGAGGTCTCTCTGCTGCTTTTATACCATCCAGTATACTTTACACCATACAGTGAGGACTAGAAGCTTATATGGTTTTGTTGATTTATTTTCACGCTACCCTGAAGAATCCAGATTTGAAATAGACAAAACCACATATGTAGTAATTTTTAAAAAGCATACATTACCTCATTGTAAGGTGAGAAAATGAACTGAAAGATGATCAAGAGTCCAATCAGAGTGGGTTGGGTGTCATAAAAACCAAAGGCAGCAAAAAGTACCCTCTGACCAATTAGCACGGCAAACAAGAAGAAACACAGGAAGGAATTTATCTAGAAGAGAGGACATGATACTGCAGGTCACCGTGATGCTAAGCAGGCCTTTGGGCGCTGTCTTGATCAATGATGAGCGGGAGAGGGCCCATCGCAATGTGGGTGCTGCCACCCCGGCAGGTGCGCCTGGGCTGTATGAGAAAGCAGGCTGAGCAAGCAAGCCAGTAAGCGATGTTCCTCTATGGCAGTGGTTCTCAACCTTCCTAATGCTGCGGCTCTTTAATACAGCTCCTCATATTATGGTGGTTCCCCAACCATAAAACTATTTCATCGCTACATCATAACTGTAATTTTGCTACTGTTATGAATTATAATATAAATATCTGTTACGCAGGATATCTGATATGCAATCTCAAAGGGTCATGACCCACAGGTTAAGAACTGCTGCTCTATGGCCTCTACGTCAGTTCCTGCCTCCAGGTTCCTTCCCTGACACCCTCAGTAATAAAGTGTGACCTGAGAGTTGTTCCACAGTTGTTTTTGGTCACGGTGTTATCATGGCAATAGAAACCCTGCCTGAGACACAGGCTATGCTGGCACCAGCTCAAAGTGGAGTGCTGTAGCATGTGGTATCATGTAGGGACGGTCCTGGAAGGCACTGGCACAAATAAACTTTTTGTTGTTGGTTTTCTTTTTTGAGACAAGGTTTCTCTGTGGAGCTCTGACTGTCCTGGAACTCGATCTATAGACCAGGCTGGCCTTGAACTCAGAGATTTGCCTGCCTCTGTTTCCTGAGTGCTAGGATTAAAGGTATGTACTACCATGCCTGGCATACAGAAACACTCTTGATGAAGAGAACTTTAAATAGTACATCTAACTGGCTATGGGGCAAATATAAGATGAAAACACACACTAATTTGCTGACAGTGGGCAATTAATGGTTTGGTTGAATGATCAGAGGCCTCAGACACACTAGAGTGAGGCTAGCCTATTTCCAGTTACTCTAGGACTTGATCAAGGTGCTTATGACTAGTGGTCAAAGTGACAGTCAGTCAGTGTATCAGTAAAGAACACCGACCTTCTATCAGAAGAGGCTCCTGGCTCCTACTAGGTACCCAAAGTGTCCTTAGGGAGCAGCCCACTGCCTTGTGGTAGGGCTGATCCCACCACACCCATCCCTTTATAGAAGGGGCAGTGACTTTCCTTACAGATCAAACACTGAGTCAGAACCAGAATTTGGATGTATTTAAGCCTTATGTGCTCTGTTTGTACAGCACAGCTTCAAGCTAAGGAGCTAAGTGTCAACTAAAGACCCATGGCAACAGGAAACCTGGGCTCATGAGTCTTCTCACACAGCCCAGAACTGGCTGGCCTTTCAGGAACAGAGACCCATCTGAAACTCAGTGAAGCATGGCATGATGGTAAACGCGTGTGTAATTCTAACACTTGGGAGGCAGGAGGATTGCAAGTTGAAAGGCATCTTGGTCTATATAATGAGAGTCTATTTAAAAACACACACACAAACAAGATTTAGTTTAGGCTGTCTGTATGGGTTCAGTTCCCAGCACCAACATCACGTGGCTCATAACTATCTTTAACTCAGCTCCAGGAGATCCTATGCCTCTGGCCTCTGTGGGCACCTGCACTCGAGTACACATACTCATATGCAGACACACATACCTATACATGATATAGTTATAAAAATAAATCTATATTTTTTATAATAGATCCTTTAAAAACCTTTTTAAAGTAGAAATATAGTATCTGGTTTTTGCATTTATGACTTATTTATTTTTGTATAATGAGTAGGAGTTCTGTGGCAGCACGTATGTCATGTCAAGCCTGTGGAGGTCAGAAGGACAACCTGCAGGAGCCAGTTCTCTCCTTCCACCAGGTGGGTCCCGGGAATCAACCTAACACTGTCAGCCTTGGTGGCAAGTACCTTCACATACTGACCACCTCACCAACCTTCCAAAAGCATTGTAATGTACACCCTATCGAGGTTTGCTCCTTTTTGGTCTTCATGGCTCATGTATCGGAGCAACTCTGGATGTGACAGCCATGACGGTGACAGCAACAAACACTATCATGTACTCAACATGCTCCCACCATGCCCTGCGCACCCCAAACCCTACCAGGACTAGGTATTCAATTCCTAAGCAGCCCTACGCTGTACTATTCAATGAAGAAATGGAGGCGGAGAGAAACTGAGGAAATGCCTCAGGTCCCACATGTACACTCAGAACCACAATGAGAAGTCAGGCAGCTTGGTCTCCAAATTGAGATCCTCCTGCCTCAGCTTCCTGAATGATAGGATTACAAGCCTGTGCCATCACTTGATGAATGTCTTATCCCCATTACTATATAATGTCTCAGGCCTCTTATACTTTTATTTACTTACTTGGCTTTTCTTTTTAAGACCGAGTCTCACTATGTAGCTCAGTTTGGCCTGGAAGCTGCTACATAGCTCAGAACAGTCTTTGGCTTCTAAAAATTTTAACGTATTTCTTTTGTTTATTATATGTGTGGGTGCAAGAACACATGCCACATTGCAGGTGTGGAGGTCAGAGGACAACCTGAGGGGGCTGGTTCTCTCCTTGAACCACGTGAGTCCTGGGGGTTAAACTTAGGTTTGGCAGCAAGCGCCTTTAACTGCTAAGCCATCTTGCCAGCCCCTCAAGCTGACATCTTTCTGCCTGGGTCTCCTGAGTACTTAAGATTACAGGTGGGTACCACCCCGCTCACTTTTCCTGCCCTTCCAACTATAACTTTACAAAAATGAAACCGTGAGCCAGAGCTGCACAGCGGTAACCCCAGAACATGGGAGGTGAAGGAAGGCAGAGGATCAGGAGCTCAGGGTCATCTTTGGGTACACAATGAGCTCCAGGCCAGTCGGGGCTACATGAGACCCTGACTCAAAGGAAACACAGCAAAATACAATTGTCACTCCAAACTTACCTGACTAATGATTATATTTTTTATTGTGTGTCCCAACTTCCAGTGTCCCAGTTCATGGCCAAGTACAGCCAGTACTTCCTCATTTTTACATCCTTGTTTCTTATTCTGAGTCAAGAAAATAGAGAAAATAACCTATTAGTAACCTTTAATTCATTTATATCTTTAACCTTGATCCAGTAATATCCTTTCATTGATTGTAATGTAAACAGACTTCAGTATAAAACTTGGCTTAACACAGCATTCACTATGCACCCCAAAGACAGAACTATAAACAAGGCAAGCTTCAACTTCACTAAGTTCAACACCCTAAACTAATTTAGATCAGGAGAAAAAAAAAAACCTGGAAAGAGCATAAATCTTTATCAATAAGGTAAAGAGTTAAACAAGTCAAATGAAACCACTTGACAGCTACATCCTAAACTCATTAGAAACTTCATTCTTGCCAGGCGGTGGTGGCGCACGCCTTTAATCCCAGCACTCGGGAGGCAGAGCCAGGCAGATCTCTGAGTTTGAGGCCAGCCTGGGCTACAGAGCGAGATCTAGGATAGGCACCAAAACTACACAGAGAAACCCTGTCTCGAAAAACCAAAAAAAAAAAGAAAGAAAGAAAAAAGAAACTTCATCCTCAAGTTTGTTCTGATGTGGAAACTCCTCATGATGAGCGTGATTAAGTAACAGCCATGCACACAGTCACTGGGAACGCTGATGGAAGGCACAGCAGTGTTGGGAGCAGTCAACTGCATATGACAGAGCACAGTGACTTGACCGCTTGACAGCTTTCCTGGAGTTCTAATCCCCAGCACTACCAAAACTAGAAAAATAAAAATTGATTCAAATTATATGAGAGTGCAAGGAACACAAGAGAAACAGGAAAGGTGAAAACAGCAACTCTGGGGTCAGCAAAGTAGATGGGCATGGTAGGGGCAGGAGAGTGCATGGGCATGGAGGGGACAGGAGGGTGGATGGGCATGGCGGGTCAGGAAAGTGGATGGGCATGGCGGGTCAGGAAAGTGGATGGGCATGGCGGGTCAGGAAAGTGGATGGGCATGGTGGGTCAGGAAAGTGGATGGGCATGGTGGGTCAGGAAAGTGGATGGGCATGGAGGGGACATGAGAGTGGACGGGCATGGAGGGGACAGGAGAGTGGATGGGCATGGCGGGTCAGGAAAGTGGATGGGCATGGAGGGGACAGGAAAGTGGATGGGCATGGAGGGGACAGGAGAGTGGATGGGCATGGTGGGTCAGGAAAGTGGATGGGCATGGCGGGTCAGGAAAGTGGACGGGATAAATGGCAGCAAATTAAGCAGACAAAGCTGAGTCACAAGGCCGCAGTGGAGAATCTGGAGAGACAGCTGATTGCGTTGCTGAACTTTCAGTGGGCATGGAGAACACCAGCTGCATGGGAACATCCCATCCCAGTGGGATGGTCTTTCTGTACGCTGTGAATATGTGTTGCCGTGACTGGTTAATAAAGAAGCTGCTCTGGCCTTACAGCAAGACAGGTTACAGCTATGCGGGAAATCCAAGAGAGACAGGAAAAGAAAGGCAGAGGTGGGAGAGACGCCAGCTGCCGCCGCCAAAGGAGAAGCAAGATGCCAGCAGACCGGTAACGCCACGGCCATGTTTCAAAACACAGATTAATAGAAATGGGTTAATTTAAGATGAAAGAGCTAGCTAGCAAGAGGCCTGCCATAGGCCATACAGTCTGTAAATAATATTAAACCTCTGAGTGATTATTTTATAAGTGGCTGAGGGATCGCGGAGCTGGGTGGGACCTGAGAAAACTTACAGCTACACCAAACACCTCTGGAGCTGGAGAAAGAGGGAGTAGGCTAGACTAAGACCCAAGAGACCAGAGAAATGGCTCAGTGGGCAAAAGTGCTTGTGCCAACAAACATAAAGCAACATTAATTAGGGAAGCTGGCTCAACAGACAGCGGTGTCTGCTACCAATGCTGATGACCTGAGCCCGACGGCCCTCAGCACTCACACAGTCAGGATCAACTCCTGAAAGTGGTTCTTTGACTGCCACACGTATGCTGAGGCAAATGAACACCCATCCTTATACATCACAGACACAATAATAATAAAAACTAGTAACTAAACTTGGTTTAAAAAAAAAAAAAAAAAAAAAAAGACGGGCGGTGGTGGCACACGCCTTTAATCCCAGCACTCAGGAGGCAGAGGCAGGTGGATCTTTGTGAGTTCGAGGCCAGCCTGGTCTACAGAGCAAGATCCAGGAAAAGGCGCAAAGCTACACAGAGAAACCCTGTCTCAAAAAACAAAAAACAAACAAACAAAAACAAACAAACAAACAAACAAAAAGAAACCTAACATTCAAATAACACAATTTCTGAAAAAAGAAAATACAAACAAAAAGGAGCAGCTGCAGAGTGTGTGTGTGTGTGTGTGTGTGTGTGTGTGTGTGTGTGTGTGTGTGTGTACATGTACCAGGACAGACAAATGCAAATCTTCACCAAGCCTGTACTCTGAAAACACCTCAGGGTTCTTCACAATGAAGGCCAGCGCAATGGGCTGGAGAGATGGCTGCTCTTCTAGAGGACAGGGGTTCAATTTTTAGCACCCTCAGCTCACAACTATCCAGTTCCAGTTCCAGAGGAAGTAATGCCATCTTCTGGTATCCTCAGGCACAAGGCATGCATGTGGTACACATATACACATGCAGGTCAAACACCCATACAAGTATAATTTTTTTTTAATCAGTGACAAATTCATCATAAAAATCACCAAATACTTCAGAAAACAAGGCACAACGAGTGAGAAATAATAAAGAGCAGCATTAGGGCCATAAGAATTTGTATAACGAGATTATCAGATTTCAAATACAAATAAGCATGCTTTATACAAATAAGGAAACATAGCTAGGTGGTGGTGGTGAACGCTTTTAATCTCAGCATTCGGGAGGCAGAGGCAGGCAGATCTCTGTGAGTTTGAGGCCAGCCTGGTCTACAGAGTGAGTTCCAGGACAGCCTGGACTACACAGAGAAAACCTGTCTCAGAAAAAAAAAAAGGGGGGGGGGGCCACATCTGATCAGACCAACCTGAAAAAAGAATCAACTGAATTTTAGCATTAAGAATAGAGGCACATGCTTTAGTCCCAGCACCCAGGAGGCAGAGGCAGGCGGATCTATGTTCATGAATTCGAGGCCAGTCTGGTCTACAGAGTGAGTTCCAGGACAGCCAGGGCTACACAGAGAAACCTTGTCTCAAAAAACAAAACAAAAAGAATGGGAGAAGCTTGGTATAGTGGTGTACACCTTTAATCAAAACACTGGGTAGGCTAAGAGGCAGATGGATTTCTGTGAGTTCGAGGCCAGCCTGATCTACATAGTGAGTTCCAGGGCAGACAGGGCTACGTAGAGACCCTGTTTCAAAAAAACAAAACCAAAAGGCAAAGACATGATGGAATAAGAAGGAACACAGCTGGGCTGAGAATATATGGTGGAGCACTTGCCTTGCATGTGTCGAGTTCATCTTGGTTCACTTCCTAGCACGGGAGGGGGACAGGATGACACACAGCATGGGAGTCACACTCAAAGTCACACTTGCCACCAAAAGAAGGCTCAATGACTTGCAATGAAATGTTAGAAAGAACTGGATTTTCTTCCCTTCCACATTAATGTCTCATAAAAGGACACAGACAAACAGCACACCATGTATGTAACACACTCCTTTTCATAAACTCGCACCTTGCCTCATTTGATCCTTAACAACACTGCACTGGCACCAAGTGGAGCATCTTTTTACTCAGAGATAAAGAAAAAGAAGCTGAGAATCAAAATGTCTTGGGCAGGTTGGGGAGGCGCTATAATCCCAGCACTTGAGAGGTGGAAGAAAGGACCAGGAGTTCAAAGTCATCCTCAGCTACATAGAAAGTTCAAGGCCAGTCTAGGCCACACGATGAGATCCTGTCTCAAAACAAAACAACAAAGCCGGGGGTGGTGGTGCATGGCTTTAATCCCAGCACTCAGGAAGCAGAGCCAGGCGGATCTCTGTGAGTTACAGGCCAGCCTGGTCTACAGAGCGAAATCCAGGACAGGCTCCAAAAAAACTACACAGAGAAACCCTGTCTCGAAAAGCAAACAAACAAACCAAACAAACAAAATCAACCTGTTCAATCTGATGGCTCATCCCACAGTCAAAATTCTGCCTCGTTCACATATCCTCTTCTCAGAAACCTGCCTATTAGAATCTGCAGTAATATCTCAATTCAAGATGGGTACAGTTAAGGGTACATACCTCCCAGACTGGGAGACTGAGGTTGAGAGTCAAGAGTTAAGGCCAGCTTGGGATACATAAGACCCTACCTCAACAAAACAAAAGAACAAAACCCCAGACCCCAAATTTTAAGAAGCCGCACTAATTCAGCTCTTCAAGATATACCTCATATGCCTCAAACTATGGGCTCCTTGTCACCTCTACTCACAGGTTTATTAGGTTGGGATGAGGCCTAAGGTAACATGGCATATAATTTATGCATAAACACTGCAGTTGATGAAGTAAAAGCAGGTTCTTCTAGAAGCCAGCAAGAGGCGGCAAACCCCATTCATCTCACTTCAAAGGGGGACTCGAGCATTTGTATTTGCTTTTGTACTGCTGAGGACTGAATGCAGGTCCATGGCATGCTAGGCAAGTACTCTACCTCGGAGCTACCCCAGCTACCAGCTGTGTTTGTAGCCAAATAAAACTGTTTCCAAAAATACTAAAGGCCTGCGTTCTCCTGACACTGTTGCAACCCTGGGTCACTTGCTGGTGTGTAAATAATTAGCTACAGTGTCATATACCCTGCACTGGACACCCCTTAGCAGGCTCCCTGCTGAACCTGCAGGCTCTCTAGTTTACTCTCACTGAGTCACCCTTTCTCACCTTCAGTTTTCCTTCCTATGAAATGACCTTAAGTCCTTGTCCCAGCTTCGAATCCTACGACAGGTGGTTAAACCTAAGTGGCTTTTATTCTAATATCCTCGTTGGCAGGTTAATTCCACTTAAAGTAAATATTAAAAGCCAGGTGTGGTAGCTCATACCTATATTCTCAACACTCAGAAGCCTGGAGCAGGAAGGTCCCAAATTTGAAGCCAGGTTAAGTTGTATACATAATACGTTCCAGGCCAGTATGGGCCACACACAGCACGTCACGGTCTTATGTGTATGGGAGTGTGTGACGTGTGGGTGGGTGTATATGTATGTGTGTACACAGTGTGTGAACCTTAGCCTTGAGACAGGGTCTCTAACTGAACTGAAAGTTCAGTTTTGGCTGCACTAAGCACTTAGGATGCGCCTGTCTCTATACCTCCACACCTGGCTGTTTACATGGGTGCCAGGGATTCGAATTCAGGTCCACAAGTTTGTAAACAAATGTTCTTATCCACTGGGACATCTTCCCAGCCGCACAAGACTCTGTCTTAAAGTTAAAAAAAAAAAAAAAAAAAAAAAAGGGTTGGAGCTATAGCTCATCAGTTAAAGCATTTGTTGCTCTTGCAGAGGCCTCAGATTTGATTCCCAACATGGTGTCTCAAAATCATCCATAACCCCAGTTCCAGGATATCTGATATGCTCTTCTGACCTCTACAGGCACCAAGCATACATGTGGTACACATTCATACATGCAAGAACATACATAAACACACACATACACAAACACACACACAAATGAATAACTCTAATAAAACCAACAAAAACCACAGGTGACTTAGGAGTGCCTCCTGCTCTTCCAGAGAATCTGGATTTGGTTCCCAACACCCATGTTCCGTGGCTCACAATTACCTTTAACTCCAGCTCCAGGGACCCAGACACACCTTTTCTGGCCTCCACTGACACCTGCATTCACATGCACTTACCTACCCACACACTCATACACATAATTGAAAATAAATCCTCTAGAAACCCAAAGGCATTAGCCCCTCTACCATACTATTTAATCCTTGCACAGAAATTGTCTCATCTATATATTCATAACAGGAACAGGCACCTAATTAGATCATCCCTTTAAAAGTCAAAACAAATACTCAAATGACACTCACTATTTTCCAGAACTTAAAAGGAAAAGCACAAGAGATTTTACGGGTGTTGTTTCATTTCATCTCATGACTCTAAAAGGTGAGCACTTTACTCCCACACTTCCCACTCATGAGTGATCTTGCATCATTCTGACTCTATTCCACTCCCATCCAAGAACATCTAATAATATCTGGGGACCATTTTGGTTGTAATATGTGAGTGTGTCACTGGTCTCTAGTGGGGACAGGCCAATGATGTTGCCAAACATCACAAGAGACTATCCAGTCCAGTAGTGCAAAGTTGGGAAATCCTGCCAGCCGCTCCTCTGCCTCAAGGAGTAAGACGTTCAGGAACCTTAACTTACTTGCTCAGTCATGCAGCTGGTAAGTGGACAGGGGTCTAAAATCATCCCACATGACACCACACCAAGAGCACATTCCATCCCACACATAAATACTGGGGATTGTTTATGAAGATTACTATTATTTCTTGCTATCATCCCTCCTCATTCATTTATTCTTAGTACTTTAAATTTTACTAGTCAGCATTAGCTGATCTTATCCAGCAATGTTTTTAGACTCTCAGAAGTTTTTCTTGGGGTTGGGCTCAAGGCACATACCTTTGTGTGTGGGGTGTGTGTGTGTGTGTGTTTCAAGACTCTCTTAATCCCAGCACTCGGGAGGCAGAGACAGGTGGATCTCTGAGTCCGAGGCCAGCCTGTGCTACAGAGTGAGTTCTAGGACTTCCAGGGCTATGCATAGAGACCCTGTCTCAAAAACAAACAAACAACAACAACAACAACACCACAGGAAGTTTTCTTGGACTGGTGGGATGACTTGATGGGTGAAGGTCTTTGCCAACAAGTCTGGAGACCTGAGTTTGATCCTTGGAACTCATGAAAAGGTGGAAGTAGAGAACTGACTCCACAAACTGTTCTCTGATCTCCAGACACATGCTATGGCATGTGCATATGTGCACACTCACACAAGTGTGTGCAAAAGAAAAAGTACAAGAAATGCCTTCTCGTACACTCCTCTGGATCTTGTGTCAGGATGTCTGGCTGACCACCCCCTTCACACTGTAGGTTTATAAAGGATGTCTGTCTGTCTGTCCACCCCCTTCACACTGTAGGAAGTTTATAAAGGATGTCTGTCTGTCTGTCCACCCCCTTCACACTCTAGGTTTATAAAGGATGTCTGTCTGTCTGTCCACCCCCTTCACACTGTAGGAAGTTTATAAAGGATGTCTGTCTGTCTGTCCACCCCCTTCACACTGTAGGAAATTTATAAAGGATGTCTGTCTGTCCACCCCCTTCACACTGTAGGAAGTTTATAAAGGATGTCTGTCTGTCTGAGCACCCCCTTCACACTGTAGGAAGTTTATAAAGGATGTCTGTCTGTCTGAGCACCCCCTTCACACTGTAGGAAGTTTATAAAGGATGTCTGTCTGTCTGAGCACCCCCTTCACACTCTAAGTTTATAAAGATTAGACTTCTCTTCAAAAAAAAAAATTATTTTTCAATCTTGAGACAGCACCTCAAATATGCCAGACTGACCTTGAACTTATAATATAGAAATAAAAATGAGCTTGAACTTCTGGCCCTCCTGCCTTTGCCTTCTGAATGCTGGGACTGTAGGTGTGAGCCATCAGGACTGGCTTATTCGGTACTTTGCATGGAATTTAGGCTTTATGCATGTAAGGCAAGCACTTTACCAACGCCCCCCCCGCCCCCAGTCCCTACTTGTTGCTGTTTTTGTTTTTGTTTTTTTTGAAAGAGGGTTTCTCCATATAGCCTAGCCTTGGCTGTCCTGGCACTTGCTTTGTAGACCAGGCTGGCCTTGAACTCACAGAGATTAGCCTGCCTCTGCCGCCTGAGTGCTGGGATTAAAGGCGTGCGCCACCACTGCCGGGCTCTTTTGTATACTTTAGACATCCCTGTCACTTGCTCTGTTGACCAGTCTAAGCTTCAAAGTACTTGCCTCTGCCTCCAGGGTGCTGGGATTAAAGTGTGAACTATCATTCCAGGCTACTTTGGTATTTAATGCCAAACAAAGCAGTTTAGTACAGAGCAGATATTTCATAAAGAAGTGTTAAAAACAAATAAATTGATTCAATCATATAATGCACCGAAGGAGCCTGAGTGACTAGATGACGGGACCAGGTCTCCACTCAGTCCACTGCCAAAGTAAAGTCTATTAACTGCTATGTCTCAATTACACCAAGGAGTAAATGCTTCTCTTCTTATTTTGCCTGTAGAAATGCTTTGATCATAAACATAAAAGGAATATGGGCCAATGAGATGCATCAGATAAAGGTGATTGCTGTAGCAGGCCCTCAGACCTTAGCACAACTGACTCCATGATGGAAGTACCATTCAGGCTGTAAAACTCAGCAGGTAGGCAGCACCACCTGCCAAATGAAAACAAAGACCTAGTCTATCAAAGTCCACAGTTCTGGGAAAGACTCTAAATGTACTAACCTTCCTTTTTAGCTTCTGTAGTTCTGCTTTTGGCTAACTGTTCTTGTTAACGGAAGCATATCAACTCAGGGTATGGTTTTTGTACTTAAAAGTTCATCCTAAGGGGGTTGGAGAGATGGCTCAGAGGTTAAGAGCACTAGATGCTTTTTCAGAGGTCTGAGTTCAATTCCTAGGAACCAACCACATGGTGGCTCACAGCCATCTATAATGAGATCTGGTGCCCTCTTCTGGCCTGCAGGCATACATGCAGGCAGAACACTGTATATGTAATAAGTAAATCCTACAAAAAAAAAAAAAAAAAAAAAAAAAGTCCACCCTAAGAAAGTCTTGGGACTACAATGGGGATGCACCGGTTACACTCGGTGCAGTCACCAGCCAGATAACAAGGACATTTATTGCCTTCAGAAACCTGTGTCCAAGTAGTCTTTTCTGATAGATACCACACAACTGTCACCAATCCTGACTAGCTGAGTTCAATCCCCAGGACCTACAGTGGTACAATCAACTCCTACTACTCGTCCTTCTGATTTCCATGTTCGTCCCAGTGTGCACACGCGTAAAGCTATTACATGATTCTTAAAAAATAAGATCTTTCGCCGGGCGGTGGTGGCGCACGCCTTTAATCCCAGCACTCGGGAGGCAGAGCCAGGCGGATCTCTGTGAGTTCGAGGCCAGCCTGGTCTACCAAGTGAGTTCCAGGAAAGGCGCAAAGCTACACAGAGAAACCCTGTCTCGAAAAACCAAAAAAAAAAAAAAAAAAAAAAAAAAAATAAGATCTTTCAATATCAATATGTACATCTTGTGAAAGTTTGCAAGGTAGTTTAGCATGTGATAAAGGTAATCATTTCTCCCAAACAGCAGAACTTTAGAGTATCCACAGTATTTCTATTCGGTGGTCTCTGTGAACTTCACTTGTAGCATAGAAACTGGTATTTTATGATCTGTCAAAGAATCGATGTGTAAAAACTGAGTCAGGGTCTCTGAGGGAAAAAGAACTCACTTTCACTTTAGCTCTTATCTCTTCACTGTCTCCTTCGCCATCATTGCGGGGCTCCACGCCAGGCTCCTCCTGCTTGTTCTTTGTTTAGTACAGAGTATTCTTCTAGTAGAGTGTCAAACAAAACTATTCTCTTGTTCTTGAAGAAGCCATAAAAGTAAGCATTGCTGGTGGGAAAGAGCGCTTAGATCCTAAGGGAAAGACAGTCCAAAGCACGGAACAGAATTAAAACATCTGGGCTCCTTCGGAACTAATGGAAAAGGCATGAACATGTTCAAGCCGTAAAATACCTGGAGAAAAACTGTATTAATATAAATCATTAGCAGCAGTGGAGTGACTGTCATCCTGCTCCACTTACACTCCCTGGTTTGTACCCATAGTACACTAAGACTAAATAACTAATTGAAATGATTAAATTGTGGTAAAGCCATGAAATGAAATTTTAAGCAGCCAGAAAAAAAAAGGTATATACCTGCATGGAATTTAGCAAAAGAAAAGTATCAAAGTATCATGAAGAATACAAAATGCCACATTAGGTTATCATATTATCAAAAAATATACATGTAGATAGGAAGGCATAAACCCTAGGCTGTGAGAAAAAACACCACAGTAAGGAAGTGCAGTTCCCGGGGACCCAGAAGTGTGGAATTCATCTGTCTCTGTTCCAGGGCATCTACTATCAGAAAAGGCTCTGTGAGACTGGAAGGAAACATACCTACACTTTGAACAGAGGCTGAGAGTACCCGAACTGTGGCTGACACCCCTTTCTTCTTTACGTATTTCTTCAATTTCCAAATGTTCTTCATTGTGCAGTGAGTTGAATAAAGTGGCTAAGAGCAACTCTGAGCTCAAATCCTGGCTCTGGTATGTATCAGTTGTGAAAATCTAGGAACCATTTTAAAGCTCTAGTTTCCTGTTTATGAAGCAAGGCTAATATGTACCTCATAAGATAGTATAAACATACCTTGACCCACATTACTTACATAAATGCATTTAAATGAAGAAATGACAAAATATTTATTTCTCTTGAGAACTTGAAGTTTCTTAAAAGAAATTGTGATTTCTGCATCTACTCATTTCTACTTTTTAAAAATGATTTATTTGCCGGGCGGTGGTGGCGCACGCCTTTAATCCCAGCACTCGGGAGGCAGAGCCAGGCGGATCTCTGTGAGTTCGAGGCCAGTCTGGGCTACCAAGTGAGTTCCAGGAAAGGCGCAAAGCTACACAGAGAAACCCTGTCTCAAAAAAACCAAAAAAAAAAAAAAAAATGATTTATTTATTTCCATTTTGTGTGTATTGATGTTTTGCCTGCATGCATGACTGTGTGAGGGTACCAAATCCCCTACAACTGAAGTTATAAACAGTTGTGAGCTGCCATGTGGGTGCTGGGAATTGAGCCCAGGGCCTCTGGAAGAACAGTCAGTGTTCTTACCTGCTGAGCCATCTCTCCTTTCTATTTTTAAAAAAAGATTTATTTTTATTTATGTATATGTGCATTTGTTTATGCCACCTGTGTGCAGGGGCTGGCAGAGGCCAAGAGAAGCCATGGGGTGGAGGTGGCCGGGGGAGATGGCTTATCATTTCAGAGCACTTACTGTTCTTGCAGAGGACCTAAATTCAGTTGCTAGCACCATATCAGGTTGCTCACAACCACACATAACCTCCCACTCAAGGAGGTCTGATGCCTCTGATCTCCCATAATCAGACACACACATAATTTAAAAAAAGATAAATATATGTATTTGAAATTTTTCCCTGGGGGTTTATGTATCCCAGACTATTCACTAGTGCTATGATGAACTTTTGATCCTCCTGCTTCTACCTTCCAAGTGCTGGGTTAATAGGTGTGGGCACAACAGAAGGTTTATGTGGTGCTGGGCATAAAATCATTGGCCTTGTGCATGCTAGGCAAGCATTCTATTAACTAAGTCACCCTCCCCAGCCATGCATCTACTCATATTTCTAATATGACATATTTGGCAGTATGTTTAGAATACAGTAAAGCTTTGATAAGTAGTAGTCATTATTATTTATTGCACTGTAATATCATTTTTGGGTGGAGTTACCTGGAAGTTAAGAGACAAACATATGGTTCTATTTTGTCAGCACTGTGGCAAACATTGCTATCATTCTCATACTGTTTTCTTTTTAAATGTGTGTGTGTGTGTGTGTGTGTGTGTGTGTGTGTGTGTACACACATGTGTACAGGTGCCCACAAGGCCAGAAGAAGGCACTGGATCCCTTGGTGTTGGAGTTACAGTTGTGGGGCACCCATCATGAATTCTGGAAACCAAACTCAGTTCCACTTCAAGAACAACAGGCACATTTACTGCCTAGTCCTCTCTCTAGCCCCTCATACTTCTGTTTTTAAAATGAAGAAGGAGCCTAGGCAAGCATTCTACCGAGTCATCTCCCCCAGCCCCCATCTCACACTTGTAACATAATTAGTTCAAAACTTCTTTAGATGCCATCTGAACCTATCATTGGGGGTGGTCAGGTCACATGCAGACAAATAAAACTGATGTCTCAATAGTTCCTATTGGTCCAGGCTTCTTCAAGCATGGTCCAAGGAATAGCCACATCAAAATCACAACCACTGGGAACACCTGCCAAGTCAGAGTCTCTAGAGTGGAAGCCAGGAACCTGTCTTTAACAAGCTTTCCAGGGAATCTGTATATAATTAAAGTTTAGGAGTTTCTGTAAACTTTTTGTACTACTGTGCCTAGCAAGTAGTTTATATTTAATAATGCTTGTTTATTGACTGGATTAATAATACCAGTAAGACAGTGAAGTAATGCATTGAGAACTCTGAGAATAAAAATTCAGTGTGAATGAAAGGTACCACACCTGCTGTCTTTACACTCTGCTCTCCACTGGACTTTGGGCAGTACCCAACACACCCTCCTGGAACACTTAGCCTTACTGCTGTCCGTTCCTCCCTGCCAATTCTGAGCCTGGTGTTGCCCTCATCTTTGGCCTTAAACACCAGCCATGTGCCAGAGACTTCCAATTCTATGTTCCAAGGACCAGCTTCCCCATGAAATCCCAGGCTTGTATATGCAGCTGCTTGTATGACATGTCTACATAGGAAGTCTACAGATATATTTGTTAATTCTATTTTTTTAATTGCTAAATTTAATTTTTATTCCCTCTATAGAAAACACTAAATTCTAAGCCAAAAATGTATGCTGACTCTTCCAACCTAAAGAGTTTAAGTATAATAATACAATTATTCAAAACAAATACATGTTTTTAAGGAAACTCATGGGGCTGGAAAGATTGCTCAGTGGTTAGGAGCACGTGTTCTTGCAGAGGACCAAGGGTCAATTCCCAGTATCCACAGCATTACTCACAACTATCTATAACTACAGTTCCAATGGATTCAGGGATCCAATGACTTCTAGGGCACCAGGTACACACATAGTGAACAAAACATTCATACACATAAAATAAAAATAAGTAAATCTAAAAAAAAAAACCAAAACAACCCGTAAAAAAATTTTAAAAAAGAAACTCACAAGCTGTGATTTCTTCTTTTGCACAAGGCCACTTTAGTTTCTCCTACACTTAAATTCAAGATTTCTCTTTAAGACAGCCCTTAACAAAAAAAACAAAAAACAAACCTGGTACTGTTTCAGCCTCCCTGGACAACTTCTGCCTCTAACTGAATCATGGACATAAGGATAAAACTTTAAAATTCCCATCTAAGATCTTTGGAATCTCACTTTAAGCAATTTCCTTTGGGATCGCTTTTAGGTTAGATGGTTCTGCCTGCTCAATGCAGTTAGCTCCTCTGAACATGATCAAGTCCAGCTCATACTCATTTATAAGCTGTTACTCTGGATGATTAGGGCTTTTATACATTCTGTTAGCTGTCCTGAAGTCCTTTCCCACAGACCTAGTGTGTGATGCAAAACCAATTACCGTATGAGGGGTTTCCAACAATGTGTAGCTACAGGAGAAGGAAGCCTCAGGACAGATCTCAACTTGCTCGTATTTGTTAAGGAATTTTACATGTTAATTGGTGGTGGGGGGGTTTGGAGACCAGATGAAGGTATCAAAGCCTTGGAGCTGCAGATACAGGTGTTTGTAGGACTTCCGACTTGCTAGAGGGGTGCTCAGGTCCAAACTCTACTTTTCATGATTTCAAAGCAAACACTTTTAAGTGCTGATCCAACTCTCCAGCTCCCTGTTTATTTATTTTTTGTGTGTATTTATGAATGTTCCATGGCCCGTGTATGGAGGTCAGAGAACGATTTGTAGGAGTTGGTTCTCTCTACTATGCGAGTTCTAGGGAATGAGTTCAGTCCTTGGGCTTGGTAGCAAGTCCTTTATTCACTGGGCCATCTCTCTTTCTTATTTGTTGTTTTTAAGATTAAAAAACAAATGTGTATGTGTATGTGTATGAGAGTGCCTGCAGAGGCCAAAAGAGGGCAAGGATACCCTGGGGTTAGAGTTACAGGTGGATGTGAGCCACCCAATATGGGTGCTGGGCTCTAACTCTGGGCCTCTGGAAGAGCCAGTGCTCTTAGCTGCTGAGCCACCACTCCAGTCCCTAGATGTTTGTATTTTTATCTGTGCTTTTTTTCCATCTGTTACTGGAATGTCCTTGCAGCGTTCAGGGAATTTCACACAGTGAAGATCTTGTGTGAGACTGCTTCTCATTTGGGAAACCTAAAAGTCAGGTATTTGCTTCCTCAGCAATTCCTGCAACTAGCCCCATGCACCAGCTTAGTGGGTGAGGTGCAGCCCTGGGAACACCGAACAGTCAAGAGAACCACACAAAGAAGGAAAGCAGTCACGAATTCATTCTGTAGCTACCAATGACAGATGTTAGTTAGGGCTCTACTTTAAAACAAAACAAAACAACCCTATTTAAATTTTTGTTTTATATGTTTGAGTGTGCACCATGTGTCTGCCTGGTGCCTAAGAGGCAAGAACAGGGTATCAGATCCCTTGAAACTGAAGTTATAGATAGCTGTGAGTCACTATGTAGGTGCTGGGAATTGAATTTGGATTCTCGGGAAGAGCAACAAGTGCTCTTAACTGCTAAGTCACCTTTCCAATCCCTGCTACTTTTTAAAAAATGTGCATGTATGTTTGTGTGTGTAGGTGCACATATGTGTGCACATGTATATATGTGTATGTGTGTGTGTGTGTGTGTGTGTGTGTGTGTGTGTGTGTGTGTGTGCATGTAGAGGCCGCAGAACAATCTCAGGTGTTAGCCTCACAAGTGCCATCCACTTCCTTTGAGATAGAGCTTCTTATTGGCATGAAGCTCACAATTACGCAAGACTGGCAGGCCAGTGAGCCCCAGGTGTCCTCTGGTTTCTACCTTCACAGCACTGGGAATACACTGAGTACCACGACACAAGGCATTTTTATTTGGAGCTCAAACTCAGGTCCTCATGCTTGCAAGGCAAGCCCTTTCTCAATGAGGTTGAGTTATATAAGCCTTGGACACAGGACTCTGCAGTGGCAACAGCAGGAACCTCCCCACACTGGCTCTATCTTATGAGTCTGAACCCAAAGTCACCCATTTAAGAGTTCATTTTCCAAGGCTGGCAAACAGCTTTTTGGAGATTTTGTAGCTCTTAATAAGAAATTCTTCCCATGATAGTTTAAGCAAGTTCTAGGTAGATTTGCAATTTGTGCTCACACTCACTTCAAGAGGAGTGACAGAAAATCACAGTTTCTGGGGTGTAAAGGGGATCTGCACTACAAACATGCTATTCTTGGAATTCTTTGCCTCTTAAAATCATATTTCTTGTACTTCAGTGCAAACTCCAAGTAAATACAAAACTATACTTAAAAAGGAGCTGATATTTTAAAACTGAATGTAGAGATAGCCCCATAAACAACAGACACTTCTAGATTAATGCTATTTTTCTTTCCCTTGAAAACATTTAATAGAAAGCACACTAAAAATTTATTTTATCTATCCTCTGGAATGTTTTACACATGTTCTAGAAAAATACCCAATGCATATTAAGTGTTTCATAATAATTCAGGGATTAAAAGCATCACTTTGACATTTAAAAAAGAGAGAAAGAAATTCTTCTACTTAAATTAGCCCACTGGTTGCAGAGCTGTGACTAAGATTTCAATACTAACACAGACATGAGAACTCTAATTCCTTACAAACTTGCTCTTCTAATTCTATTCCCTCTCAACAAGCTGCCATCTTTACTACTGTCCATATCGACTCCAGGCTGTTTGCGATCCTTAATGTCTCTTCCTTATTTCCCTACATGTAATCTATCAGCAAACGGCATCAACATTCCCTGTTTCTCTTCATCAACTACTACTCCAGTCTATAACAAAACAAACAAAGAAACAACAAAAACCACCCATCATTTCTAACCTGGACTACCAAAACAGCTTCCTACCTGCTCTCTCTGCTTCCATTCTTGCCTCGCCCTGTAACACATTCTCCACACGGAAGCCCAAAATAGTCTCCTGGCTGTGTGTGGTAGCTCAATCCCACTGTAATCCCAGCAGTAGGGAAGTAGAGGCAGTAGGATCAGGAGTTCAAGGTCAGCCTCAACTGTACAGTAATTCTGAGGTCAAACTCTTCACCCTGACTGACAGAGGCCTGTCAGGGCGCTGCACTCTGCTGACTGCTTACTCTACTTACGTCTTAGCCCCCCCTTCACTCTGCAATTGCTTCTCATTGGTGGTGTTTTAGTTTACAGTAGGCACCAGAAACCTATGGCTTCAGACCAAACCCAACTGTTGCTTGTTTGCATGCAGTCTTACTGGAACACAGCCAGGCTCATATGCTCATGCCCTGTCTGTGGCTGCTTCTGCCATACAGTACTGAACACGTGAAGGAGACAATGTAGGCCACAAAGCTCTGAACAGTGAATAGCTTGTTTTTGTTTTTGTTGTACAGAGAACTACAGTTCAGAGGAAGCACTGTTGAAAGCGAGAGAAGTGATTTGTTTAAGATCTGATAACTAGAGGGGGGGGGGAGAGGGAGAGGGAGAGGGAGAGGGAGAGGGAGAGGGAGAGGGAGAGGGAGAGGGAGAGAGGGAGAGAGAGAGAGAGAGAGAGAGAGAGAGGGAGGGAGAGAGAGAGACCCTATAGCTAGTAAGTTGCTGAGGCAGAATCAGCTATATTTATTTTATACAGATTTTAATTTATAGATTCTGACACACACACAACAGCTTTCCTCTAAACTTGGAAGGCTTCCTTGAAACTTAAACAAGTCTCCCCTCCTCTCACTTCGGTTTTTTTTTTTTTTGAGCAGGGTTTCTCTGTATAGCCCTGGCTGTCCTGGGACTCGCTCTGTAGCCCAGGCTGGCCTTGAACTCAACGATGCCCCTGCCTCTGCCTCCTGAGTGCTGGGATTAAAGGTGTGTGCTGTTGCCACCACCACCTGGCAAAATTTAAGCAGCCTTATGAAAGCTAATAGGTGGCTTAATTCTCCAAGGCAATCAGAAAAGCTGTCTAACTAACATGAGGTGCTTGACGGTACCACAGGTCAGAGCCCTCTGGAGCACTGATGTTCTGCTAGAGGAAACAAAATCAACCACCCTGGTTTTGTTTTGGAGTCCCTAAACTAGTGCTATACAGCTAGCTGATCATTCAAGATCCAACTTAATTACCCAAAGGAGCCAGGCAGACAGTGGGGTGAATGGTTGGTCTATCATACAACACAGTACGAGACTGTAAAAAGGCTTTGGCCAAAGGTTAAGAACAGTACTGTACAGCTGATCAAGCAGAGTTGTAGACAGAAACAGGATTTGGCATCAGGCTACCAGTTTCTATCCTGAAAAATGTTCTAAGTTCCTATAAACCTTCTTTTTCTTTATTTTTATTTTATTTTTTAAACTTTACGTTACAGGCAGTTGTGAGCCACTGTGTAGGTACTGGAAACCAAACTTGGCTCCTCTGGAAGAGCATCCAGGGTTCTTAACTGCTGAGCGTCTCTCTGGTTCAGTTCCTATAAATCTTAAAAAGCCAAATGTAAAATCTTACCCTATTTTTAAGTAACAAATTTAAAACAAACAATAAAGACTTATTTAAGAATAAAGCACTCAAAACAAACCAGTTAATAAACCCTTCTCACATCCAGGTAGCCTTACCTTCAACAACATACACCTTAGTCAGAGGAAAGTCGATATTCTTTGCCATCACTTCAATTTCTTGTTTAAGCTTTCCCTCAGGAAGAGGTGTGAATTTGTCAAACAAAGGGGCAATGTAATCAGCATAAATTGTGACCAGAACCTGAAAAGTAAGTAACAGAAAACCTGCTCATTATTAAAACATTCAATTATGTGATACAAATATGTTCATCCAACCAACACCTGGGGCAGTGTCTGTTTAGGAAATTAAATCAAAGTAGCTGTGTGGTAAGGGTAAGCAAGTGAACTTCATTCTAGAAAACAGTGCTACTGACCCTGACGAGGAGCTCTGGGGTCGATCAATAGCCCTTCCTTGGGGATTCCTGGCACTGTAAGGCAGTTATAATACACACTCTTCTTTACTCTGCCGGAAATGGCACTTCCGGAGTATTTCCTCAGCTCTTTGCTCTTACTTTAGTTTGTCTACTAGGTCTTTGTAAATCCAGCTAGCCCATTTTCTGATCTTGATCCCACTAGCGAGAGGTAAAGTAACAAACAGATGGAAACAACCCTCATGATGGCCAATGGAGACAAGAACTGATGGACGGTATTTTCTAGGCCTGTGAACACACCACTTGATTGTATGATTCGGTGCCCGTGCAGGAAAGCAGTTTAGAATATGAGAAATAGAAGAAAAAGGGGGTGTACGAGGGAAAAAGTGGGGGTGAGAGGAAGAGGGAGGGAGGGAGGGAGGGAGGGAGGGAGGGAGGGGGAGGTTGGGAAGAGAAAGGAAAAAGGAAAGCAAGACGGAAAGGGTAGAGAGTGGGTAAAGCAGAAAGGGGAAGAGCAGAGAAGGGCAAAGCAAAGCAGCAGCAGCACAGTGGTGTACGCCTATAATCTAAGCCCTGAGCAGGCCGGGGAGCAGGAGGATCGCCAGGAATTTGGTGCCAGTCTAGACTGCACAGGAACTCTGGGGCCAGCCTGAACGGAAGAGCAAGATGCTTCTTTAAAACAACAACAACAAAAACAATTAAATAAATAAAAGACAGGAGGAAAGGAATATAAAAGAAGGAAGAGCAGGGAGGGGAGGGCAGAAGAAAGCCAGGAAAGGAAAGCCTAAGCTTTTTTTGGAGACCGGGTCTCTACCTTAGGCTGGCCTCCATATATAGCTGAGGATGGCCTTGAACTTCTGATCCTCCTGTCTTCACCTCCCATGAGCACTATCATACCTGCTTTATAAAGTACTGGGGACTGAGCCCAGGACCTTGTGCATGCTAGACAAGCACTCTATCAACTAAGCTACAGCCTCAGCTTTATGCTTGTTTGTTTGTCATAAATGTTTATTTATCTCTTGTCTGCCATAAATCTATTTTCTCTTCAAAACATTAAGGCTTTTTAGGCACTGGGGGATGGAGGAGGGATATGTAAGTCAACAGTCATCCATTCTGGTCAAACTTACAAGTGGACAGTCTCAGTTGCCTAGCAGTCAGATCCTTAAGTGACCAGCAACTAGCTTCTGGCAACTGTAAGAGTCAGCACAAAGAGAAGCAAATCTACGGTTGATCAGTTCTATTTTTATATCCCAAAGCAGGAACTGCGAGAAAATACATATGGGTAGTTGGTTACACTGTGACCTTTTCTTAGGAACTACTTACATGGCAATGAAAACGAAATCCTAGTAATCTCATAAGGAATTTTTGCAGAAGAAAATGAAATATTTAAAGAATAAGAGGCCATGAGTTTGAGAAGTAGGAGGGACTGAGGAAGAACTGGAGGAGAAGGAGGGAGAAAACAATGTCAATATAGTACACTGTGGTAGTTTGAATGTAACTGGCTCCCATAACCCCCTAGGGAGTAGCACTATTAGGAGGTGTGGCTTTGTTGGAGTAGGTATTGGCTTTGTGGAGGAAGTGAGCCACTGTAGGGGTGGGCTTTGAGGTCTCATATCTGCTCAAGCTACACCCAGTGTTTCAGACCACTTCCTGTTGCCTGCGCAAGATGTAGAACTCTCAGCTACCACTCTGGCATCATGTCTGCCCGCACACCATCATGTCCCACCAATGGTCTAAACCTCTGAACATAAGCCACCTGATAAAATGTCTTCCTTTATAACAGTTGCCATGGTCATGGTGTCTCTTCACAGCAATTGAAACCCTAAGACAACTCATATATGAAATTCTCAAATTAAATAAATAAAATAAAGAGTTTACTTACCAGAGAAACAACTAATGTGAACAGCCAGGCATAAATAAAAAAGTAATCACCTCCAATTTTAATAATGTAAAGCAGAAGAGAAGACACAGGCAATAAAATACATTGAGTCACAACAAATTTTTTGATTGTGTCTTTCATAAAAAACTCCAAAGTCTGAAAGAAGAAAATATTACCACTATTAACCAAACAGCAGCTGTAAGTGAACACAAAGGACCCCAGTCAAGCAATTTTAAGATCAGCATGCAGTGAGGCTGTGTTAGAGGACACTGGGCAGCCTAGGACAACAAGCAGAAGTTTTGCAAAGTTTAAAATAATGTTAATTAATGTTAGCTGAAAAGAACTAAATATTTGCGTTCAATTTCTATCAAGACCTTAAACTAAGGTCTACCCTATCTGTGGTTTCTTTTCCTCAGTTGATTCATGCTCTAACTAGCAAACTATACCTAAATTACTGCCAGCGTAGGACTAACACACAGAAAATCTTCATATTAAAAGCCCTGATAATTTCTATTATACCTGGTGATTGAAGCCGTGCTTTTCTTCTATCACAAAAGTATTATAGATGCTCCATGGCAAGCCAGTCAGTGCACTGTAGAGTGTGGCCAACAGAAGGAACACCAAAGACTGAATGATCTAAGCACAAGAAAAAACATTTTTTAAAAGTCAGCATTATGCATTGAGTGCTTATTGTATCTCAAGCAACACACTTGATCCTGTGGGGAACAGGCCTGTAAGAGTATCCTGCCCTTGGAAAATGTTTACCTGGAAGCCAGGCCCAGTGTTGCTCTCTCTTGCTACTGACTGTCTATCTGGATGTAGAACTCTCAGCTACCTTTCCAGCTCCATATCTACCTTCATCCACCATGATGATAATGGACCAAACTTCTGAAACTGCAAGTCACCCAGTTAAATATTTTCCTTTATAAGAGTTGTTGTGGTCATGGTGTCTCTTCACAGCAATAGAAACCCTAACTAAGATGGATGGATGGATGGATGAAGGAAGGAAGGGAGGGAGGGAGGGAGGGAGGGAGGGAGGGAGGGAGGGAGGGAGCGAGCGGCTAGACCAGGCATAGTGTGCTCAAGTTTCTATAAAAAGCCAAATTTTGATAGAGAAAATTATCCCCAATAATTACTTTAATCACCTTTTAAAAACTGTTAGATCAAAAGCCAAGAATTTCCCTTTACTTTCTTCTAATTTTTTCCATTTCTCTTTTCTAATTTTCATACTCCAGTATGAAAGTTCCAGAGCTAGAACTTGGGAAAGGAATGGAGTTAAAGAACTCATTCCCCCGAGAAAGGCAGTGTGACAGGAAAGTCACACCAGGAGAAACCTGCAGAGAATACAGACAGCGGCAGCTTCCCTCAGTTTCCAAACCTACCCAGAGAGAAGACCTTCCAGGAAGCTGGGTGATGAGGAAAAACATTGCTTCTAGAAGGCAGCAAGACCCAGGCTGTCCCTCTGTTAGTGCTCAAGGGCTCTAGACAGAGAGCACTATGAATACTGCACGTGACGAGAAGGGACTCAGCCCAACCCATCCATTCGTGACATGGAGCAGCACTCCATGTGTTCTGCGTCAAGGAGGTCTGTCACTTGCTGAGAAAGACCAGACCTTATCTTCCCGCACAGAAATAGGACACTAGCTGTGAGCTTCTTTGCTGGGCGTTTGGGACAGGGAAGTTCTGCCAGCAAACACGCTGCCCACACCCAGAGTGAGCTGTGATTCTCCAACTCCTCCTCCTCCTCCTCCTCTTCGTCTCCTTCTTTTCTTTTTTTGAGACAGGGGATCCTATATACCCAAATTCACAATCCTTCTGCCTTAGTCTATTCTGTGCTGGGATTACAGGTATAAATGCACATGCTGTAAACCATTATACCTGGCTTCGTTTTTAAATATAGAAAATATTATTTAAATATTAACATTAATATTTGTTATATTAATATTAATATATTAATAAAATTAAACATTAATTTAATTTTAATTACACAAGAAGTTCCTGTGCATTGTTGAGTTTTCTCAGGAGAGAAAAACCACATTTTGGAATGCATTATTTCAGATTTTTTTAAATAAATAAATGGACTCAAGTGATTCTCTAGCCTCAGCCTTCCATGTAACTGAGGCCACAGGCATGCACCACTGGACCCACATCAACTACCCATTTTTATAAATGTGTTTGTGTTTTTAGCTGGAAGAGCATGAGGCATCACACTCTGAATAACTGAATAACAGATGTGCAGCAACCGATCACTTAGATTGATGAAAATATTGACATGACTGGTCCTCACGGCTTACATTGTGAGCCGCAGTTCATGTAACTATTCACATAACACACATGGTAACTGAAATCTGAGCCACAGTGTTGAAGGGCTGGTGTCACAACTGTGGTAACTTGATTTGTATATATCAGAACTACACAAGGTGAAGACTCCAGTATCATGCAGCCATAAAAGAAAAAAGGCCTAGCTATATAAACCAATAGGAAAAGAACCCTAAGTCATTATTAAATACAAAACTCATACCTCAGGACATTACATAAAATAGCCCATGAAGATGAAGACTCACCCCTAGCTGAGGAGCTAATGGCAGTTGATGGCTGCTGAGAGAGAGTCATTTTCCTTTGTCAGGGCTGGAGGGGAGAGCAGCCCTTAGTTGCCCAGGCCCCAGTAGATGTCCCCACATACATGTGCATATGGGCTGCACTGACTTACATAGTGAGAGATGAGTATTTCTTATTGGCACATGTAGAAGTTATGTTTACTCATTCAACAAAGTATACCTACTTGCATGCTACTCCAAGTCTGCAAGACAACTCAGTGGGTAAAGACACTTGCCAACAAACCTGACTTGGCTCAGTTCAAGCCCTAGAGCCCATATGATGGAAGGGAGAACTGACTCCTACAAGTTGTCCTCTAACTTACACACACACACACACACACACACACACACACACACACACACACACACGAGTCCTGTTGCTTTAGAAAATGGTACATGGAAAAGAGCACAGGATGAGCAGACTTAAAGCCAAGAGTACCTGTCCACACAGGAGGGCCATGATTTTCAATAAAGAATCAGGAAGGAGGTAACTGACTTGGCAGCTTCCTGGACAAAGGCAGGAAGCAGAGCTGCAGCATCCATTACAGATGGAGAGTTCACTTAAGGAGACAGAGACTTTCTGTCTTAATTTGAAGTGTCTGCTTACTATGTATGCCACGGAAGTATCTGCTAAGTATGAGTTCCACAAAATGAATGGTATGTACCCCTGTCATTGCACAGGGTTGTTCCTAAGAAGCAGCATCCTAATCAAGACTACATTTCCCAGCTTCCTTCCATCTGGATAAAATCAAATCACTGCTTCACTGTGTAATGTGAATGTACAATATCATAACCTTAGCATTACAGGAGTTAAGAGGGCATGCTCTTTCCACTGTCACTGGGCCCTGGATGACAAACCCATAAAATGAAAACAAACTGACTCCTTGCCTCATCATGTGGAACAAAGTCACCTGCTAACTAAAAATACGCACACTAGCTATTACGTGATTGGGAAATAAACTGAAAAGCCACTAGAATCTTGAGTTACAGGAACTAGCTGTGGTAGCTGAACGATATGGCCCCCATAGGTTCCTATACTTGAATGCTGGTCCCCAGTTGGTGGAACTGTTTGGTAAAGATTAGGAGGTGTGGCCGTATTGGAGGTGTGTCACTGCCTCCTGTTTGTGGATCAGATGTAAGCTCTCAGGTACTTGCCCCAGCACCATGCCTGCCTGCTGCCATGTTTCCTGACATGATGGTATGGATTCACCCTCTGAAATGGTGAGTCCCAAATTAAATGCTTTCTTTTACAAGCTGCTTTGGTCACAGTTTTTTTTTTTTTTTTTTTTTGGTTTTTCGAGACAGGGTTTCTCTGTGTAGCTTTGCGCCTTTCCTGGAACTCGCTTTGGAGACCAGGCTGGCCTCGAACTCACAGAGATCCACCTGGCTCTGCCTCCCGAGTGCTGGGATTAAAGGCGTGCGCCACCACCGCCCGGCTGGTCACAGTTTTTTTGTCATGGCAACAGAAAAGTAACCAAAACACTGGCATTATGAAAGACATGCACAGACAAGCACTGTGGAGACAGAGAGGCAAGCCTACTGGTGGAGGGAGCCAAAAGGACAACTTCAGTGTAAAGCTCACCAAGCAAAAGAAAGACTGGCCAGTCTGGGCAAAGGAGTCACATACCTCATATTCCGGCCCAAAACCAGCAGAACCACAGAACCGTCCAGAAAGTCTCCAGAGGTAAGGGATTCCTCCAAAGAGAAGAATAAACTGTAAAACAAAGCAGATTGTGGTCACATTTAAACAGTCATAGCAACTACCATGTGAAAGAGTGTATTAGAAGGAAAAATGGAAGGGAAAATAAATAAGTTACGGACAAAAGTGGGCTAACTCATTTTGTATACGGGTAAACTGTATGGAATGTGAATTATATTTCTGTTTAAAAGACAAGCCCAGGAGTCTCACTCACTTTGGAAGTTAAAAAAAAAATTAATCTAGGACCAGAGAGATGGCTGAGTGGGGAAAGGCACTTGTCACATAAGCCTGATGACCTTCTCTGGAACCAGAGTAAAAGATGAAAGAGAACTGACTTCCAAAAGTGGTTTTCTGACCACCACATGCACACCGTGGCCCACACTTATGACCCCTAATCATGTGTACACATACACACACACACACACACACACACACACACACACACACACACACCCCAACCAAGAACAACAAATAAACAAATAATTTTTAAAAATACTTTAAAAATCGGTCTTAAGGGGGAAAATAAAATAGTAGTCACTAGAGACTGGAAGGGGATGGGGGAATTGATTTAGAAATATGTTAAATAATGGCTATCAAAACAGTCAGTAGGATTTAATTCAGACATCTACAGTAATCGTAACTTTAGCCTACAATTTATGAAGTGTTTCACAAGAACCACAAGTCCAAAGGTTTCTGGCATAGATATATTTAAGAAAATGGAAATTCTAATTACACTGATCTGATTGTCATATACAGTATAAATTTTCTAAATTACATTGTACTCCATGAATGTGTATAAATACTATGTGATAATTAAAAATAAAAACTAGAAGTGAGGATGAGGAAAAATTCACTAAGGAGTACACAGTCACAGCGGGAACAGATTTCGGTCTTTGTATAGCGGAATTTGAAAACAGAAGAGAAGATTTCAATGTTTATATTACACACACACACACACACACACACACAACTATTATTTATGGTGATAGATATGCTAATTATCCTGATATGATCATTATTACAATGTATCAAAAACATCAGTGTACCCTAGAAATGAGAATCACATGTGTTAAATATAATAGCTTGCAAAAGTAAATAAAACCTTTTGCCAAAAGACTAAAATGAAAACATATCAATCTACTAAGCTTACAAAAATTAAATCGCACAGGTAAGGAGCAATAGATTTGAACAAGGTAATATGGCTTTATAAACTATATAAACTATCTTTTCCACGAAAGGAAACTGTCCTTTTCAGTCAGGAAAAAGTACTAGCTTGCAGGTGTTTGAGACATTGCCTCATTATGTTGTCCAGGGCAGTTTTGAACTCATGAGTTTGAATGATCCCCCTGCCTCCTACACAGCTGAGAATACAGGAATGTACCACCATGCCTGCTGAAGTATGAGTATTGATATGGAAGTGGTGAGTCAGGTCCACTTACCAGACTGTGGGACAGAATAGGATACTCAGGCCTTCCCTGGGTCAGGAAAAGATGAATCCTAACGCAGGAGTCAGGGCTTAAGGAGTAGGCCCTTACCATTCTTTGTCTTAGGCAAATAAATAAACAGACATTCACTAGGACACCAGAACTTCAGAAACCATGAAGTAGCTCAAATCATGAAAACAATGTATGTTTAGCAGCCCAGAATCCCATCTACCCAGGAGGATGAGACAAGATTGCAAGTTCAAGACTTGCCTGGGCTACACAGTGAGATCAAGACCAGCCCAAGAAACAGTGAGACTTGGGGCTGGGGAGACAGCAAGGGAGTGCTAGATTTATAGCTTAGTAGTGAAGTGATTGCTTAGCATGCACGAGACCCTGATTCAATCCCCAGTTGTAAGGCAGGAAAAGGAAGGAAGAAAGGGAAGGAGGGAAGGAAGGAATGTGGTAGAATATTGTTTTAGGGTGTATTACTTTTGTTTATGGGCTGGAACATTTGTTTGGCTTTTTTAATAATTTATTTTTATTTGATGTGCATTGGTGTTTTGCCTGCATGTATGTCTGTGTGAGGCTGTTGGTCCCCTGGAACTGGAGTCACAAACAGCTGTGAGCTGCCATGTGGGTGCTGGGAATTGAACCCGGGGGCCCCTGAAAGAACAGCCAGTGCTCTTAACCACTTAGCCATCTCTCCAGCCCCTGGAACATTTGTTTAATGATGCAAAGATGTGTTATATAGTCAGAAGTTTCTCTGGTCCTGCCCAGCCCCTCAGTCCTGATGAATCTCTCCCACCTGTGGTCCCACGGTCACTTATAATCATTCAGAGGCTTAATATGAATTACAAACTGTATGGTCTATGCTCAAACTTCTTGCTAGCTAGCTCTTGTAACTTAACTCAACCCATTTCTATTAATCTATGCATCGCTACGTGTTCTCTGGCTTTACCTGTGTCCCATTACATGTTGCTCCTTGACTGGTGGGCTGGTGTCTTCCCCCACTCTTTTTTCTTATCTCTGTACTCTGCTTGGGTTTTCCCGCCTGCCTCTAAGCTGCCTTGCCATAGGCCAAAGCTGCTTTATTTATTAGCCAATGGGAGCAACACATATATTCACACCGTACAGAAAGACACCCCACAGCACAGCAGTGTTACATTTGTTTGATTAAATAAAATTAACCTGAGGTCAGGAGGCTGAGTCAGCAACTAGCTGACAGGAAGTGGTAGGGAGGAGCCAGGTGAAGGGCTTTTAAGTGGGGGCTGGGAGAAGCACGAGGGCTTTAGGGAGACTCGAGCAAAGAGAGGAGGTGAGCTACTTGCTATTCGGCCTCTCTGAGGAGCAGAATTCCACCTCAACCTTTGAATCTTGAGTCCTTTAGAGGGACAGAGATTTCGGTAAGTTTTGTTTTGAAAGAGTCGGTGCCTGAGGGTACAGAATCCCCTCCAGCTGCCACAAGGGGATTCTCTGCTTTTAAGTTTGTATATAAAGGAAACCAGACTGTACTCATTCACAACTTGCTTTTTGTTTGTTATGAGACAGGGTCTCACTACAAGCCCTGGCTGTCCTGGAACTCACCACATAGACCAGGCTGGCTTCAAACTCAGAGATCCTGCTTCTGCCTCCCGAGTGCTGGGATTAAAGGTATGCACTACCACGTCTGGCCTGAACTATTTTTTCAAAGATCTTTCCATGGTGACCGTTAACTTTATTTGGCATTAACAGTTGCTCTCTAAATGCTTACCACCCATCACATTATACTTCCATCCATAGCACATATGTTCTTATCTTTCTACAACTTCAGACACACCTCATACTACTCATCTTTTACATTTTTTGTTTTGGTTTTGAGACAGGGTCTTATTTTGCAGCCAAGGCAGAACAAGACTCACTTTGTAGCCTTGGCTGATCTTGAACTCAGAATGCTTCTCCTGCCTCAGTCTCCCCAGTGCTATGATTACAGGTGTGCATCCCCACACCTGGCTGTCATCTAGAGTTGTACCAGCTGCACAGGTTTGCACAGGTCTCAAGTATGGCCTCTGAACAGAACCAGGAGCAGCAGTGCCTGAGGCTATGCCTTGAGTGCAAAGTCTCCGGCCACAGCTGGCCACAGCCCACAGAGGCTGGGCTGGGACCCAACAGTCTGCAGGTGAATTTGGCAGACACTCACTTATGGGTGACTGTTTAAATAATCCGACTGTGAACTCTAGGCGCATGAATTTCTACTTTGCTACAATTAACTCCATTGTGGCCAAAAGAAACTAGTTCCTAAAAGCTATGTTCTGTCACCACTACCTGCCACATGCTACCACTGTTGAGCTAACTGACCTCGGATGACATTCCTTTTATCTTCCTCCCAATACTAACAAACACTGTAGAATTAAGGACTTACACCGCTTTTGATAGAAAGTGAAAACAGCTACTACTAAAATTCCAGCTTTCAAATAAACATTGATGGTATTTTAACATGTCTGTGAATGATTTATGAACACACTTGCGAACTGCTGTTCCAAACCTTGTTGAGTTTACTTTGGGAATTAAAAAACAAGAACGGTGAGCTATAAACTTTCTCCATGCTAATAATCTCTCCGAGCACACTCCTGGGAATCCTAGGAAAAGAATCAATAAGCCCAACAGACAGACACAACGCCAGTACTCTGACATGTATTATTATTTCATTAGAGTCTTAAAAGCAGACATGGCAGGGAGGTAACTGGAACACAGAGAGGTTAAAGTAAAGCCCAAAGAAATCCAGTGGCAAGTGCTTGCAACATGTTGAGTCCTGTATTAAGTGCTTCATTTTTATCACCTTGCCTACTCAGCCCATGCCACAAACCATACAAAGGTCAGTGTCTAAACAGCTCTCATTTGATTTTATGTTTTCAAAGATTTATTTCGTGTGTGTGTGTGTGTGTGTGTGTGTGTGTGTGTTAGGGGTATGTGCATGTGATTGCAAGTACCCATGGAGGCCAGAAGAGGTCACTGGATTTCCTGCAGCTGGGGTCTCAGGCAGCTACAAGCCCCCAGTGTGGGAACTAGGAATCACACTTGGCTATTCTGGAAGAACAGTACATGCTCTTAATCACTGAGCCCTATCTTCAGCTCCCACTTGTTATTTTTCAGGAGAAAATGAGGCTTAGAGATGAAAATACAGCCAGGCTATAGTGGCAGCCTTTAATCCCAGCACTAGGGAGGCAAGCGATCTCTGTGAAATCAAGGCCAGCCTCGTCTACAGAGCGAGTTCCAGCACAGCTGGGGTTATACAGAGAAACCTGTCTCAACCAAACCCAATAACAAAACAAAAACAAAAACAAACAAAAAAAGAACGTTTGTGTAGAAAGATGAAAAACCTAGAGAAGCAAAATTTGAGCTTAGCTGAGTCTAGTGGGTCACTCTTGTAATCCCAACATTCACAGGCTGAGGATTCTTGCAAATCACAGCAAATTCTAGGATAGCCAGGCTACATAGTGAGACATACCTTCCTCTCTCCCCACAAAAAAAAACAAGTGCTGAGAAGATGGCTTAGTGAGCCAAGTGTGTGTTTGCTGTACAAGCATGAGCACCTGACTTTGGAATCCCAGCACCCACATAAAAATCCAGGCACGGGGGCTCAAGCCTATAATCCCACTGCTAGGGAGGTGAGCAGGAGCATCCACAGAGCTCTCTGGCCATCTAGTCTATCCAATCGGTTATCTATAGGTTCAGTTAGGGACCTTATCTCAAGCAATTAGATGGAGAAGAGACTGAGGAAGACACTCGGCGTCAAGCCCTGGACTCTCGACACTCATGCACACATGCAAGTGCACTGCAAACAGCAGACACACACAACCTGAGCTTTTCCATTCCACTCCTCTCCACTCCCAGCCACAGCAGTTCCTACGGTGTTTTCTTATAGTCTTGCTGTATTGCCCAGGGCAGTCTCCATCTCTTACACCCAAGTGATCCTCCTGGCTCCACTCTAAAGTAGCTAGGATGACAGGGCACAGTGCCACAGTGTCGGCCACTCCATTTCTTGGAAGGGCTCTTTAAGGATATCTGTGAGACATCAGGTAAAGTCCACCTCAGAGTCGGGCCATTGTCTCTCCAGCTGCTTTGTTACATGTATGTGAAAAGGAGCCCCCACGACTGGTTATACGGGGCCTGCTTAGTTTTTCTCAGGTACAGAGAACCAAGGCAAAAAGTGCATGTGTGGGCCCGGGCGGTGGTGGCGCACGCCTTTAATCCCAGCACTTGGGAGGCAGAGCCAGGTGGATCTCTGTGAGTTTGAGGCCAGCCTGGTCTCCAGAGTAAGATCCAGGACAGGCTCCAAAACTACACAGAGAAAAACCCTGTCTCGAAACACCAAAAAGGAAAAAAAAAAAAAAAAGAAAGAAAAAAAGAAAAAAAAGAAAGAAAGAGAAGTGCTCGCATGTTCCCTTTGTGGTTAAAACATACAAATCTTTTCATTTTAGTTAAAACAAAATAGGAATGCTTTCAGTCCAATGGTAAATGCTGCTAATTTTCCAGAACTTAATTCCACTATGTTCACACTGTGGTCCACAGTCTGAAGAATACTTTCTTCAGTGTAATTTTAAAGACTCAGAAGAGCAGAGCTGCAAACCCGGTTCTCTCACTTGGCCATCAAATGGGCTGCTTAATTTCTCTGAGCTTTCATTTCCTCCCGAAAAGGGAAAAATGCCTATCCCTGTACTTTACTGTCATAAGCATCAAGTAATAAACATAAACATTCTGAGATGAAAATTATGACTAGTACTGTTTCCAGCTTTAGTCCATCAGTACTGCTTAGAGAGGAGCCTTAGCACATTCAAGTTCATACTCTGAGGGACCTATTACCCCTATCTCTATCACCACCCAGAACACACAGCCATTCCCATGAGCACCAGTACCACCGAACTATTGCCCATCTCTCCAGCACCAGGTGAGCACCAGGCATACACATGGTGCACATATACACATATAGGCAAAAACTCTCATATATGTTTGTGGTGGTTTGTATAAGAATGGTCCTGAGAGACACATATAATTGAATGTTTAGTCATCAGGGAATGGGGCTACTTGAGAAGAATTAGGGGGTGTGGCCTTGTTGGAAGAAGTGTCACTGAGGGTAGGCTTTTAGATTTTAAAAGCATAAGCCAGGCCCAGTGTCGCTCTCTCTTCCTGCTGCCTGTGGATCTGGGTGTAGAACTCTCAGCTACTTCTCCTGCACTGTGTTGCATGCCACCATGATTCCTACCATGATGACAATGAACTAACCTCTGAAGATGTAAGCAAGCACCATTAAAATGCTTTCTTTCATAAGAGCAGCTGTGGTTGCCAGGCATACCTTTAATCCCAGCACTTGGGAAACAGAAGCAGGTGGATCTCTGTGAGTTTAAGGCCAGCCTAGACTACAGAGCAAGTTCCAGGACACCCAGGGCAACACAGAGAAAACCCCGTCCATCTCGAAAAACAAAAAAGTTGCTGTGGTCAAGGTGTCTCTTCACAATAGTACACTAAGACAATGTTAAAGTAAATAAATATAAAAATTTTAAGAAGGCATTCTAGGACTTACAGGCACTGTAACCTTCGTATCACAAAAATGCAAAAACAAAAACAAGTATTACAAGTATTAAACAACCTGAGAATTTTGTCTCCAAGGAATCAATTACTCACAGTGCTTTCCACCACTGAATAGAGTCCTGACCAGAAGCTGAATGTACTTTTATCCAGTTGATACAGTCGAGATTTCTCAAATGTGTCCGAATCCATGATCTGTTCTAATTCTGGTGGTACATGAGTTGTTGTTTTGTATATCCTTCTCTGAAATAGTTCAAAGAAAACACTTGGATGAATATTTTTTATTACACACTAGTAATTTGTAGTAAAAAACTAAATGGTCTACAACACTAGTTTGTCAGGTAAGCTTGTAGAATTTGTTACATACACATGCAAACTGCACTCAGTCAGGGACTTCAACCACTAAACAAGTGACACAGGAGAGTTAGGGCAGACAGAAAGTGTCAGAGGCCAGGTGACTAGGTACAATGGCCATCTGGGTTGTAGTCACACTTTCAGTTTGCCTGTGTGAACCAAAGTTGTAACACCACAAGGGGACCACTCATTCTGAGTATGACATATGTCTTACAACACAGAAAACAAAGCATGAAAAAAGAGAAACAAGAATACTCACTACAGCACTACACGCATCAACAGATATATTTAATATAATAATGGCTCATCATTAAATTTGGTCCTAGAGGTCAAATTAAGGATCAGAGGAGTGACAGCAACGTATCAAATCTTTACAGTAAATTTTCTCACTATGTCAAATTCTAAAAGGTAATTTCAGCCTCTGGGACATAACACAGGGAACAGATACCAAAGGGTGTAATAGACCAGATCTTCTTCAATGGTTTTAAAACAAATACTTTTTCTACCGTATGTTAACAACAACAACAAAACCACCAAACAAACAAACCAACAAAGCCTTCCGAAGGCATTAAGGAACAACCCTACAAAGATGGTGTAACTAGGCTCATTAGTAAACTGTCAGATAAGTGCTATCTCAGCCTGCTGTTTTGACTCCGAATGCTATGTGTTTGCTTCAGGCCAGGGGACTTAATGCAAGTTTGAACTAATGAAGCTTTGAGTACTTACCTATAGTACTTTTAACACTTGGACCATACTAAAGGAGGAGACTGAGACACCAATCTGATGCTGACAAGTTTTTAAAAAAATAAAACTTGCAGTTAAAGAGATTCATGAAGGGCTGGGGATGTAGCTCAGTAGAAGAGCACTTGCCTGACAAATAAACTCATATACAGTGTAAATCAAAAGAAAACTGCCGAAGAAAAAAGGCGTCAATGCTCAAGAAACAGGTCCAGCAGTTAAAGGGAAAGGTTTTCAAGGGCGACACAGAAGGTAGTTAAGTCAAGCCAACCAGCAGTGAGAGACTAAAATAAAACCATCAGTTACAAAGTCCACCTCACTTAAATGTTCAAATTTCTAATCAAACTGTTAATTATGGCTATATCCAGGGAACTGTTAGCTTTTCTAATGCACTACTTAAATTTTTAAACAAAAACAAAGGAGGTATTTGAATGAAAAACGGACACACACACACATACGCACTAATGAGGATTTTGAACAAGTGTGCGGGCCTTTAGGAGGATTACAAAACACTTTCAGAAAAACTGTTTCCTAATCTTGTGGTTGAGCACGGCAATATCAATGTCACGGGAAGCTTTATTCTAACATTTTAGCATCTCCATTTAAAAAGCTCATACCAAAGAAAAGGGGTCAAGCTTGGGCCCAAAAATCCTAAGGTGCTGTAGTGCAGGCATAGACAGGCTCTAGTTTGACGGAGACTCTTTCCTTTCCTTAGACGCTAACAGGCTTGGGTCCCATTACAACGGTGCAGACAACTTCCTGCCGTCCCAAGAACCCCTCAAAGCCACAGTCAGCACTGGGAAAAATTAGGAAGCTCACTGGGAGTTAAGGAATATAGGCTGGTGCTACCACCGGGGAGAACCTCTAGGGGCTTGGGTCGAGGCACAGGCTAACCTAAGGCTGTCCAGGAGCTGGCGTCCGGGGGGCCGTCTATGCTCACCTGCCGCTGTGCTAGGAAGGTCTCCCAAAGATACACGGTCCAGGAAAAGAGCAACACCGCCCCGAAGATTCGCTTCTCCGCAGGGAAGTCCCACATAGCGTCCACCGATGCCCACATCCCCATGGTCACCCAGTTCCACCCGCTCCTTCAGCATGCACCGGTGCCACACCGACACGCGTCCCTCAGAGTGCCAGTGGTGTCTCAGCGATATGGGTCCCTCCGAGAGCCTCGTCAGACTCCCATCCCCTCAACGCTGCTAGCAGTGTCACAAAGACACTCTTCCCCTTCCTTACTCCCTCAGGACCTTCTTACTTCTGCTAGAATTAAGACATGCCCCACCTTCCTCACTTCCGGCCGGAAAACCGAGCGGAGGTGCACCCGAAACATCCCTCCGGACTCTGCTCCCGGGACTCCAACTCCAAGGTTCCGGACAAGAAGTCCGCGTGGTTGCCGCCTGTCTTGCTTTGGCCGGTTCCCAGAGAAGGCTGTGGACTGCTGTGCTTACCGGTGTTGGGCAGGCGGGCTGGTAACCAGGTTTAGCGAGAACGCACAGGGTGGGCCCACTCCGGTCTAGAAGTAGCTGAGAAGGATGGGAGAGGCTCTAAAACTTTCTTTTTTCTATTTAGTGCTGTTCAAAGGGTTAGAGGAGCGTCCCTGGGATAACTAGCCAAACAAGACGTTACAGTTTGGGTCATGTGGCTTGTTTGGGGAAGTTCTGACTCGGGAGTGTTAGAGAGATGAAAATTACACGACTGATGAGGATTTTTATTTACACATTTCATCTTATCCCCCCCAAGTGCAGTCAGAGGAGGCATGTTGCCTGTGTGTCCTGGGACAAGGCAACTATGGATAGCATTTTTAACCTCTATCAGGCAGGGTGGGCTTGGGGCCACTGCCTGGAATTTCAAACACCAACACACACACACACACAAAAGCTCAGTAACGTTTTTGCCTTGGAATTAATCAATGAAATGGGGTCACTGTGACCCCTGTTAGTACATTGAATTTACTTGAAAAGTGAAGTCAGAATTTTTTCTGACCAAAGTAAATACGGTTTGGTTAATAGTTTCTAAAAACTGATGTTGCTAATTTGCATAATCATTTATAGTGACTTGAGCTAAATCTGTAGCTCCAACTAAAATACATTTAGGTTATAGTGAAATTGTAATGCTAAAGATGTGTTGAGATTAACGAGGGGTTCAAATTTCTCAACCGTGCCTAAATTCATCCACATGAGAGTAATCAGTATGTCACTTGACAGTGTGAGAATTACTTCAATATAATAGGATCACAAACTCTTTTGCAAACCAAATGTTTTTTGGGGAATTTTTGCTTTCAGCAAAATTAGTGGTGTGCCTGATTGAATTGTCAGCAGAACTTTTGAGTTTTGGAATGTAACTTAAGAGAAAAACAATTGATTGACATTACCAAAAACTACTACCATTCTTTTACATTTTAAAATAAAAATTATTTTTGTGTATACGTGTTTTGCCTGCATGTATGTCTGTGCACCACATACCTGCAGTGCCCTTGGAGGCCAAAGGAGGCATTGTATCCTCTTGGGCTGGAGCTGTAAGAGGGTTGTGAGCTGCCATATGGTTGTTAGGAATTGAACCCTGGTGGTGCTCTTAACCCCTGAGCTATTGCTCCAGCACCCCATTCTTTTTTTTCTTTCTTTCTTCTTTTTTTTTTAAATTTCTTTATTTGTTCTACCTGCATGTATGCCTGCATGCTAGAGGAGGGCATCAGATCTCATTACAGATGGTTGGGAGCCACCATGTGGTTGCTGGGAATTGAACTCAGGACCTCTGGAAGAGCAGTCAGTGCTCTTAACCTCTGAGCCATCTCTCCAGCCTCCCCCCCCCACCCCCATTCTTATCTACTTATTAAAGTAGTTCTTAGGGCTGGAGAGATGGCTCAGCACTTAAGAACACTGGCTGCTCTTCCAGAGGATCCAAGATCAATTCCCAGCACCCACATGGCAGCCCACAATTGTCTGTAATCCAGGAAATCTAACACCCTCACACAGATCTACATACAGGGAAAACACCAATGCACATAAAATAATAAACTAGTTCTTAGCACTTATAACAAAACAGGAATTGAAAGTGAACTGACCCTGTTGGTTTAGCAGTATGAAATACAAGAATATGAATTGATGGGAAAGTCCCTGCCACCTGACACACAAGCAAAAACCAGGAACTGAATCTTTGTGTTTTATGGTGAAAGCTAGCAGTCTGAAAAGAGTGGCTGAACATCCTAAAGCTCTCACATCCTTTCCCCTAACACCTCATTTTCAGCCAGCAGATTATAGAGGAGGAAAACAAGCAGTCAGTTACTTCAGTCAGTCTTGCCCCTCCGGTCAGGTAGTCCATTTTGTCTCTGAGATTCATCATGTTGGAGCCTTCCTCCTTATCATCTCCATTCTCTGTGTAGCAGGGATAAGGTTCACATACACCAGTGCCACTGAATCGTGTGTTGCTCTTGAACTCTCTAGACTGACAGCTAATTTAGAATAAGCCAGTAGCAGCATGTAATACAGAGTTCCTCCATTATAATGAAACACAGGTACTCGTGTCTAGTTCCCAATAAAGTTTTTGTTCCCCTCTGAAACCTCAGGAGCTTGGCCTCCATTGATTTCATTTGCACTGACGACCTGGTCTTCCAAACTCCTGTCAGAATATAGGTTCTGCTATAGCACTCCAGAACCTCTCTAGCACACAGCTTGAAACTCGTCCACATTCTTCTCATGAACCAGTTAGAAAGGCTAATGATCCAATGGTCGGTTTATCACAACAAAGATTACACTTCCTGGTACTGATTTTCTGTACTAGTTACTTTGACAAAATACCAGAAAGCAGCAACTGGCGACCTCTCCTGGTTTTGAGAAGGTACAGTCCACTGTGGTGGGGGCGACGTGGCATCTTAGTAGCTGGTTCTATGGTAGCAGGAGCATGAGGCTGCGTGCTCACACTTCAGTGGACCAGGAAATAAAGGATCAGGCCAGAGCAGGAGCTGACATAAGATAAGGCCCTAACAACCTATTTCCTCCAGTAAAGGCCCACTTCCTAAAGATCCTACAATCTCCCAAAACAGTGTCTGAGGATGAAACACAGGAACCTATGGGAAATATTTCCTATCTAAGCCTGTGGTAACAAATAACCACCCTCGTCCATTAGAAAATACTCCTAGATTTTCAAGATTGTTCTCTTTTTAAACAGGGAGTAAACGATTTGTTCCCATCTCCATATCTGTTTTTAGCCCCCATCTCTAGCTTTCTAGTGGGAGGGTTTTGAGACAGGGTTTCTCTGAAATAGCCTTGGCTCTCCTGGAACTCAATTTGTAGACCAGGCTGGCCTTGATCTCACAGAGATCTGCCTGCTTCTGCCTCCTGAGTACTGGGATTAAAGGCGTGCCACTACACTTGGCTCATTGATAGCTTAAAAAAATGTATATACAGGTTCTGGGTGTGGTAGCACATACTTTAATCCCAGCACTTGGGAGGCAGAGGCAGGAGAATCTCTTTGAGTTGGAGGACAGCCTGGTCTACAGAGTGAGCTCCAGGACAACCAGGGCTACAGGGCAGCCAGAGCTACATAGAGACCATGTCTCAAAAAAACAAAAATAAAATAAAAATATGTATACAATCATAGCAGGGTATTGTAGTTGGTTATTTTTTACTCTTAGGGGGCCGCCACCCAGTTCCCAAATAAATACTTATAAATGCCTGGCCTTAGCTTGGCTTGTTTTTAGCCAGCTTTTCTAACTTAAATTATATCATCCTGTTTCTTCCTTTTTTTTTTTTTTTTCTTTTTAAGATTTATTTATTTATCATGTATACAGTGTTCTGCCTGCAGGCCAGAAGAGGGCACCAGATCTCATTAGAGATGGTTGTAAGCCACCTTGTGGTTGCTGGGAATTGAACTCAGGACCTCAGAAAGAGCAGCCAGTGCTCTTAACTGCTGAGCCATCTCTCCAGCCCCCTATCCTGTTTCTTTTTAACTACCTTTTGCCTCTGGGCTTTTTAATCTTTCTTTATATAGCTTTCTTTCCTTCTTACTCCGTGGCTGGCTGTGTGGCTGGGTGGTTGACCCCTGGTGTCCTCCTCTCCCCCTCTTCTGGCCTGTCCCTCTCTCCTGCCTGGCTATTGGCCATTCAGCTCTTTATTAGACCATCAGGCGTTTTAGACAGACAAAGTAACACAGCTTTACAGAGTTAAACAAATGCAACATAAAAGAATGCAACATATCTTTGCATCATTAAACAAATATTCCACAGCATAAACAACTATAATACATCTTCAACTAATATTCCACAACAGGGTAAGTGGCACAGGCCTTTAATCCCAGCACTCAGGAGGCAGAAGTAGGAAGATCTCTGCGAGTTTGAGGTCAGCCTACAGTTGTACATTATATACAGCTCTACATAATGAGTTCCAGGACAGCCAGAGCTACATAGCGAGATCCTGGTCATCCTTGCTGGCCTTAAACTCAAAGAGATCCATGGACCCCTGACTCTAGAGTGCTGGGATTAAAGGCCCATGTCACTAGGTCTGATTCCTCTTCCTTTTGAGTCCAATTATTGTTGCCTGTATGTGTGTGAGTGTGGGCCATGTACTAGTACCCAGGCAACCTACCAGTGGCCACACTTCCAAGGGAAAATGATTCTCTGTTCCACGGCAGCCATTAAGCGCCAATAACTCCTCAGCTAAGAGTGAGGTCTGGTGACTCACCCTCATTCATACTAGAATTTTGACTGTATTGATCTTGTTTAGGTGATTGTAGCTGCTGTGAGTTCATGAGCGCAATGAACATGTCATGTCTGCAGAAAGCATTTTATAACACGCTCCTATCGCTGGCTCTCTCTTCTTCAATGTTCCCTGAATCTCGAGGGCAGGGTGGTGATAGATGAGTCCTATTTAGAGGTGAGCACTCATAGGAACTTATTTTCAGTACTTTGACCAATCAGAAGTCTCTGTATTAATGGATGCCCACTGGAAGAAAAAGAAGTTTCTCTGGGACTGGAGAGATGGCTCGGAGGTTAAGAGCACTGGCTGCTCTTCCAGAGGTCCTGAGTTCAATTTGCAGCAACCACATGGTGGCTCACAGCCATCTATAATGGGACCCAATGCTCTCTTCTGGCATGTAGATGTACATACAGACAGAGCACTCATATACATGAAATATATAAATCTGAAAAAGGAAGAAAAGAAGAAGGAGGAGGAGGAAGAGGAGGGAAAGGAGGAGGAAGCAGCAGCAGGCTTCAATGACCAAGGTGGAGAGCAAAATAGATTAGGGCCTCAACATTGTTCTTATCGCCATACATATTAATAGATTCTACTTTCCTAGAGTGTGCAAATGTAATATTTTTCTATTTTTAAAACCTCTCAGCTGGGCAGTGGTGGTGCACACTTTTAATCCCAGCACTTGGGAAGCAGAAGCAGGTGGATCTCTGAATTCAAGACCAGCCTGGTCTACAGAGCAAGTTCCAGGACAGGCTCCAGAGCTATATAGAGAAATCCTCTCTCAGAGAAAAAAAATAAACAAACAAAAGAAATGCCTCTCTGTGCAGTTAAAAAAATGTATATTGTAAAATATACATTACATTTACATAAAAACATATATTGCAAAAAGATAAACTTTTTTGAGACTGATTCTCACTTTACAGCCCCAAATGACTTGGAACTTGCTGTGTAGACCAGGTTGGCCTCCAATCTGTAACTGTAACACTTGAGAAGCAGAGACAGGAGGATAGCAAACTTGAGGCCAGTCTAGGCTGCACAGCAAAGACCTTATCTAAAAAATTAAAAAAAAAAATCTCTGTAACTAGAAACTCTATTAGAATTCTTCTGAACTATCATTAAAATTATTTTTTGTATAGTTAATCAAAATGAGACCATTAATCTCAGCACTCAGGGAGGCAGAGGCAGGTGGATCTCTGTGAATTCAAGGTCAGCCTGGTCTGCAAAGCGAGTTCCAGAACAGCCAGGACTATACAGAGAAACCCTGTCTTGAAAACAAACAAACAAACAAACAAACAAACAAATTAGAATTCTTTTGATTGTCATTACAATTTTTATAAATAGCTGATCAAAATAAAACATTATAAATTTTTATAATGTATAAACATAAATGGTAAAATTCTATCATCAATCTGCTAATAAGATAAATGGGTTGAGGCAAATCATAGTTTATAAAATGAAGAACACACTTGGGGATGGATGGAGGGGTTCAGCATTTAAGAGCACTTGTTGCTCTTGCAGAGGACCCAAGTTTGATTTCTAGTGCCCACAGGCTGACTCACAACTCCCTGTAACTCTACCTCGAGGGTATCCCATGACTATCTTGCATTACTATAAGGTCCCTAGCCTGCTGAATCAGCACCAGACCTGTCTGTGCCAGGCAAATGACTTACCAGCAAGCCACAGTCCCCAGGCTCAGAGACATTTTCAACTATAATCACCCCACATTATCTACCACCCACCAAGTAGATGCTGGGCCCTCCTGAAGAGGGAATCAGATCTCTGCAGGGTAAATTCAATATAGTTCTCTCTTTTATTGATACACCACTGCACACACGAGGGAAGCAGTGCTTTTCTGGAAAAGACTGGAGTCCATCACATTTCGGAAGTGGAAGTAAACCCTGATGTGGGTAAGGGACTCTGGCAGTCGGAGCAGCTGCAGTAGGGCTCCGAAGAGCAGTCCCACTTCTTCATGGCAGGCTTCTGGGCGACGATCATGCCCTCCAGGTCTCTCACTTTGTTTTCCATCATCTGAAGCTTTTTCAAAATCTTCTCTTGCAGACCCAACGACAGGAAGATATTATTGTCTTGAATCTGGCGACCACTTCCTTCTGGGTTGGCTAGCAAAGCCTGAAAAAAATCCGAGCCTTTCTTGTAAAGTTGGTAGAGTGTGATCACAAACACCACTATTTTCTAAAATGAAACAAGACAAGTGTTACTTGGTTGTGTGAATGAAAAGTCACAGGCAGCTACACACCCAAAATAGAACAGAAATCTTCTAGTAACAATTCCTCATTCCTAAGCTAAGCTTTCCCTTTAACAAAACATTTCACACCTACTTTTTAAAAAGATTTATTTATTTTATTATGCATACAGTGTTCTGCCTGCATGTATGCCTGCAGGCCAGAAGAGGGCACCAGATCTTACTACAGATGGTTGTGAGCCACCATGTGGTTACTGGGAATTGAACTCAGGTCCTCTGGATCAGCAACCAGTGCTCTTAACCTCTGAGCCATCTCCCCAGCCCCTTCACACCTACTTTTAATCTTTTAAAAGACATTTTAAAGTCATATTTTATTTGATGTGTATGAGTGCTTTGCTTGCATGTAGATAGATATACCACTTAGATGCAGGTTTCCTCCATGGCCTCTGCATCAGTTCCTGCCTGCAGGTTCCTGTCCTGCATGAGTTCCTGACCTGACTTCCTTCCATGATGAACAGTGATGTGGAAGCATAAGCCAAATAAACCCTTTCCTCCCAGGTTGTTTTGGTCATGGTGTTTCATCACAGCTAACAGTCCCCCAAACTAAGACATTGGTCACAGAAAAATTGCTTTAACATGTTAGAATAGATTCCTGGTAGGATAAAAACAAACCCATAAATTTCTTTCCTTATAACAATTAACACTGCTTATTGAATACACATGGATTAAACTTGCTACACACTCTATCTCCTTTAAAAGTCACCACAACCCTATAAGGCATTTCTACTAAGCCCATTTTACAGACAAGGGAAATGGGGCAGAGGTCCAATGAGTGATCTCAGTTCACAGAGCAGATAGTTCACAAAAATGTACACCAAGCAGCCTGACTCCTGAGCTCACACAGCTACTTATTCTGGTGTATTGCTCCTTTTTGTGTGTGCACTTTTCCCCATTTTTTCTTTTTCTTTTCTTTTAGAGTTAGGGTCTCATGTATCCAAGCTGACCCTCCAACTTGCTATTACATTTCTAATCACCCTACCCCACCTTCCAAACGATAGAATTACAGTCATGCATCGCCACATCTGATTTCTGTTTTTTGTGATTTTGCCTCAAGTGCCCAAGAGTCTGAAAGCTCATCTCTCTGATTTCACTAAACTAGAAAGTGTGTGATCTTATCTTACACTCTGGTATTAGATAACTGAAATGTGTTTATGTATGTGCACACACACACAATCTTGTATTGATGACATATGTTATTTGTTGGATTCTATTATATGACCTTTTGAACAAGATCTAAATTTGAAATTCTGAAAATTGGGTTCTAACACCAGCTTTCCCAGCTCTAACAAAACCACATGAACTTGGGCAGGAACTAAGTTACACCACTTCCAAAGTGGCCATGATAATCCCTGGCCTGCCTATTATGCAGTGCTTTCTGAACTTAAACTTGAATGTGCATTCAACCATGATTCCTAAATGGAAAAGCTATAAAATGATCCAGTAATAGCTTCTCTGTATACTTATCAAACAGACCTTTAAGAAAGCTCTCATCCTCATGACTGTCTATAATTCAAACACTTGAAAGGTCAAAGAGAGACATAAGGGTCCAGTGTTAGCTTTCACTATCTAGCGAATCTGAGGTCAGCCTAAGCTCCAGGGGTCCTTCTTAACAAAACAAAACAAAAGCCCTCTTTAAATTTATCTCCTTAAATTTCCATTGAGTCTTTGTGCACCTCACTTTCTTCACTTCTCATGTGAAAATAAACTCCATTTCATGGAGTTATTAAGATTTCCCAAAACACTGAGAACCATGCTATAAATGAGTTATTTTATTATTATTAATTATTATGGTTTTTTGAGATAGGGTTTCTCTGTGTAGCCTGGCTATCCTGGAACTCACTCTATAGACCAGGCAGGCCTAGAACTCAGAGATCCACCTGCCGGAATTAAAGGCATATGCCCCTAGTGCCTGGTGAGCTATTATTATTACTGAAGGTTAGACAAAATTACACAAATTCCCAATGTTCCTTATAATTCCAACCTGTTAAATTTCTATTCCACCAAAAAGGCCCTGTATGTTTCTGGGGCTTAGCACTGTGATGATCGAACTCACAATTCCCTATCAGTTAAAGAGAAAAGGCAGAAAAAATCCATGGCAATACAAAGAAAACACACATACACACACACACACACACACACACACACACACACACACACACACACGAGAGCCTGGTTGTCCCAGTGTTTATTCTTTGAACATGGGAGGCTCTCAGAGACAAGTGATGAATTAAGTTTGGACTCGGATGAGTGATGAAGTTGTCCAAATCTATTTTGTAATAGAGACAAGCCAAATACCATTATGAGGAAGTGTTTTTATGCTCACAACCTCGTTGGTAGAGGTTTTCAAGGACAGCGTACTTTCAACCAGCTCGAGAGGCAGAGACAATGACTAACCTCCCTTCTTCCCTGATCCTTTACATGGACTTACAAAACTGAGTAACCGCAATATGAAAGAGAAGGAACCAATATGGACTTTTTAGTCGGAAACGGTGGTGTGTGTCAGACCTCAGGGTGAGAGCTTGGGCTGAGGATTAACGAATTTATTAATTCATTAATTAATACATTATGGAGGACCACAGATTTGAAGCCGGCCTTCTTCCACAGTGAGTTTAAGGCCAGCCCAAACTACCACCTGTCTTAGAACTACAAAAAACCAACAACTCGCCCCCCCCCCAAGACTTAAATTTCTCTATACGAATACAACCTGTATTGATCGAACGCTTCGTTTCCATAAGGCAAATAATCCAATTGCCAACAAAACCAAAAAGGAAATCCCTAGGATGACTTGCACAGCTGGAGCGAGATTATCTAGTATCCCCAAATTTGTTGGCGGAGGGACACTAGTCTCTCCTACAAAAGTTGCTTGTAACCAATTCCATATCGAGCTGCGAGCAAGAGCATTTAAGAGGTTGTCCCAGGAAGAAGTTGCCGTTGGAGATGTTGGCATTTTTAAAATGGCAGCTGTAGGAACTACATGTGCAGAGGCTTCAGGAATCTAGACATGAATTAGGGAAAGCGCTCAGGGAGCTCAGGTGTTCCGGAACCATTGTGAGCTGTGCTTTGTGATGTCACCACTCCGAAGGCTCAGCTTCTTTCCACTCACCAATGACCCTTCTTACTCAAGAGCAAGCAGACGCTGGCCTGTGTTTTCAGTTCATTCATACTGTTTGCTCCGGTCTTTAGCTGGTGTTGGTTCTGACACAGAACACCCTGTGTCTGCCTCATCCGATAAAGCAGCCAGTATTACTCAAAATGGGGACAGTTGGGGCAAGGAGAATAGCTTGGTTGTTAGTGTTCTTGCCTACTACACACAAAGTCCAAGGTTTGACCCCAAGCACTACAGAAACAGGCCATGGTAGCTGCCCTCATTTGGTTTCTATTGCTGTGATAAAGAACATGAGCAAAAGCAAGCGGAGGTGGGGAGGGTTATTTCACCCAGCAGATTACAGTCATCGAGGGAAGTCAGGGCAGGAACTTGAGGAAAGTGGTGGCCATGAAGGCATGCTGCTTATTAGCTTGCTCCTCACGGCTTGCTTGCTCAGCCTGATTTATTTATTTATTTATTTATTTATTTATTTTTAACGTGTATGGGTGTTTTGTCTGCATGTAGGTCTGTGCACCATGTGCCTGAATAGGCTAAAAGAGGGTACTGGGTCCCCTGGGACTGGAGTTACAGACATGCAAGCCACCATGTAGGTACTGGGAATCCAATCCAAGTCCTTTAAACAAGTAGTCAGTGTTCTTAATGGCCACATCAGTACTTCTTAGTGCCCACAGAGAACACTTTCAGCACTTCTACACAGGGTAGCAGTTACTTTTTTTCTGAACAAGAAAGCCCAAGTACATTAAGGCTGAGAGAAACTTGAAGGAGATAACATTTAGAAAGGGCTTTTTTGTTTGTTTGTTTGTTTGTTTGTTTTGAGACAGACAGGGTTTCTCTGTGTAACAGGTCTTTCTGTCTTGGAACTCACTTTGTAGACTGTAGGCCAGCCTGGTCTACAGTGTAAGCTCCAGAACAGCCAAGGCTACACAGAGAAATCCTGTCTTGAAAAACAAAACAAAATCTTCCTCCATGGAACTGTTACACTTTGATATTGTTCACAATTTTTTTCATTTACAGTATCATTTGAATAGGTACTTTCATGCTTGCATAGAAAAATAAAATTGTTTTGCATTGCAGGGTTTTCTATGATTATTTCTCAGGTACTTCTAAATATTCTGTTACCTAGTAAAAAGGTATTCTTCAGCTCATAACCAAAATTGTCCTAAAATTTAAAGATACTGAATCTTAAAAACCTTAAGTTTAAATCTTTAAAAGTTAAAGACCACTGCCAACTGCATGAGTTTTGTTTGTTTCCTAGTTTTATGCTTTCCCTGATAAAAGATCAGACTGTGGCAAGAGAGGAAGTTAAAGGAGGCTCACAAGAGCCTTCCTTTATTAAAGACAAATTTTACACCATATTCTAAACTTCCAATGCATAATTAGTAATGAATGGACATCTGAAAATATGGCTGTCTGTGTCTTGGAATTCTCTGCTGTCAGGTATGCAAAGATCTGCACTTAAAGTGCACCACAGGCCTGTACCATGTCGCTCCCTAACTAGTCAGCTACACAGCCCAGCCCCAGGATGGCATGGGTCCCTGGAAACTCCAGTGAAATACCATTGTATCATATCAGAAATATAACTTTGTCAAATAGCTCTTTATCCATTTCCTTTCTAGGACCCATTACAACTAAAAAAATGATAATGGTCCTGTGGTAGCTTGAACGTAATTGGTCCCCATAATCTCACAGGGAGTGGCACCAGCGGGGGTGTGGTCTTGTTGGAGGAGGTGTGTCAGTATGGAGGTGGGCTTTGAGGTGTCATATATGCTCAAGATACCACTGAGTGGCTCAGTTCACTTCCTGTTGCCTGCAAGGTGTAGGACTCTGAGCTACTTCTCCAGCACCACATCTGCAGCAGGGTGAGAGGGGATGGTAAGGTTCTTGAATTGCCAAGGGCACATGAGGGTCGATGCTGCTGCTACAGATGGAGTCTATTTCAGAGTAAAATGACTGAAGGATTTGTAACAGGCCCTCAGACCTCAGCACAACTGACTCCATGATGGAAGTACCAGTCAGTCTGTAAAATTCAGGATGTAGACAGCATCACCACCTGCCAAAACTAAAACAAAGGCCTAATCCATTGAAGTGCACAGATCTGGGAAAATCTCTGTATGTACTACTATCCTCCTCTTTTAACTTCTGTAGTTCTGCTTCGGGCTAACTGTTCTTGTTAACTGAAGTAGGTCAACTCAGGACATGGTTTTTGTGCTTAAAAGCTCACCCTGAGGGGGCTAGAGAGATGGCTCAGTGGTTAAGAGTCCTGGCTGCTCTTACAGAGGACCTGGGTTCAATTCTCAGCACCCATGTGGCAGCTCACAACTGTCTGTAACTCCAGTTCCAGGAGACCTAATACCCTCACACAGACATACATGTAAGCAAAATACCAATGCACACAAAAAGAAATAAATCTTTAAAAAAAAAAATAAAGTTCACCTTGAGAAAGGCTTGGGGCTACACCGGGATCCCAAACATCCCGTGTAGTCACCGGCTGACTAACAACTTTCTATTGGCTTAAACCCACGTCAGCGCAGTCTCCTCTGGTGGATACCCCACAACAAGAGGTAGAAAGACTGGTGTGTTAACTCACTGTCTACAAGTGACTGACCACAGAATCCATTCTAGCAAGGAGTAACCCCAATAAGACCTAAGATGTGACTGTAACAGGGCAAGCCCAGGCCTGAAAGCATTAAAGATTGGCAGCTGGGGGCTGGGGAGATGGCTCAGCAGGTAAGGGCACTCGTTGTGCAGGTCTGGTGACCTGAGCTTGATTTCCATAACCACACAAATGTAGAAGAAGAATAAACTGGGTATGGTGGCACATGCCTTTAACCCCAACACTCAGGAGGTGGAGGCAGGCAGATCTCTAAGTTGGAGGCCAGTCTGGTCTACAGAGTGACTTCTAGGACAGTCAGCACAACACAGAGAAACCCTTTCTTGAATAACCAAAAAAAAAAAAAAAAAAAAAAAAAAAAGAAGGCGGGCAGGGGTGAGCTGGCAAAGTTGTCTTTTGGCCTTCACATATGCTGTGGCTCATGTGTTCCTTCACAGTCATTGTCATTGTCGTCGTCGTCATCATCATTTTTTTTTTTTTTTTTTTTTTGTAAAAGAATCATGCCAGCACACCTGTAACCTCGGCACTTGGGAGGGTGAGACAGGAGGGCACAGCCCACACTATACATCAAGGCTATCTCAAGGCAAAGGATTTCCAGATCCCTTGCTACCTCAGTTTCTCATTGTGGTTCCTAGCAATAGACTAGTGGAGAACGAAGCAAAGATGTGTGAACATAATCAGGTAGCAGAAGATGGGAATAATGAGCCTACTAAGTACCATAAGATGATGAGACAGGTTTGGGGTTTTGTTTGTTTTTTGGTTTTTGAGACAGGTTTTCTCTGTGCAACAGCCCTGGATGTCCTGGAACTCACATTGTAGATCAGGCTTGCCTCAAACTCACAGAAATCCACTTGCCTCTGCCTCCTGAGCACTGGGATTAAAGGCGTGCGCCACCACAGCCCGACTTTGTTTTTTAAACAAGGTATCACTGTGTAGCTCTTGCTGACCTGAAACTTGCTATGTAAACTAGACTGGCCTTAAACTTAGAGATCCTTGGACTTCTGCCTCCCGAGTGATGGGATTAAAGGCACGTGCCACCACACCTTGCTGTGACAGGACAGGTCTTCTGTCTATGGGTACAGTCAGTTTCCAGGGGAATGTGGCCTGTGCTACAGGAATCGAGTGCCTCAGTGTCAGAGGCTGTCAAGCTGGCAGTTCTGCATGCCCCCGATGCTCACTGGGGAACTCAGTCTATGTTGTCATCTGCCTCGAAGACGCCAAGGAAAATGGAGGAGAGAGATGCTTCTTTGAAGTTAAAGTGGATAGAGCAGCCCAGAAACGTCTGATTTCAGGGTGTTGAGATGCCATGGACAACAACTGAACAGGATCTTGAAGACTGTTTTTGGTACTTTTGGAGTTCTCATGGTACAGGTCAGGAAAGATCTTGAAACCAATCAATCAAAGGGGGTTAGCATTATTTAGCTTATGGACTATGAAGCCCACGTGGAAGCAATGTTCTAGTGATGTGTGATGGATGTGCAATGGTGTGACCGCAAACTTCCAAACTCCAAGCAAAGCCCAGACAAGCCTTTGAAGGACACATATATTTGTCAGGTGTTGTATAGCGGACACCACTGTGGAAGGGCTCAGTACCGTCAGCACAGAGAAGTGGTGGATGTCTTCATTCCCAAATCATTCACGGCCTTTGTCACATCTGCAGGTGATAGGGCCATGGAGTCCCTGTGGAGAGGACTTGATAAAGAAAGGAATCTGTGAGCATACATGCAACCTGAGCCTAAAACCAACAGCAGTAAACAGAAGGAAGTGGAAGATCTGGTGGTAACTCAGGTGGCTTTGGGGGATCAGGGTGGGTTTGGTAGAAGTTGAGGGGCTGGAGTTGGCTTGGGAAATAACTGGGGTGGTGATATGGGGTGAAGGGATGAACTTTGGAGCCCTCAGCATCAATACGGCAGTGATGGGCTTTGTTGGGTGTAGGATGGGTGTGTTGGCCAGTTGAGAAGCAGTCAGGCTCATCAGGTAATAACCAAAACCAGGGCAGCATGCAGAGGGAGCCAAAACGACCTTTGGTTCTGTAAATAGCTCCTACAGTGGTGCTAAATCTGGTGCCTGTCTTGGTTAGGGGCTGGCACCAAATGCAGGGTCAGGCAGTGGCTTTGTCTCTGAGGAGGCTTTGGCTCAAATGCAGAGTATCTTCTGGCTGCAGAATGTCAGCAGTGACTGCTGTGGGATGTCTCTCTCTATGCTGTGAATATGTGTTGCTCCTATTGTC